ACTCATGGCTTGGTACCAAAACACATGGCTTGGTACCAAAACACATAACTTGATATCCAAACACATGGCTTGGTATCCAAACATATGGCTTGGTACCCAAACACATGGCTTGGTATCCAAACACATGGCTTGCTATCCAAACACATGGCTAGCCTTTATAAAGAAATATACAAGTTCAACATCACAATAATGTTTGTGTTTTGTTGTTGCTTCATTGTGTTCTTTGTTGCTATATGAGCCACGTCACGACAAAAGCAACATAATGAGTTTGCGACCAGCATGGATCCAGACCAGCCTGCGCATCCGTATTAAAAGTAGAGAATCTGATAGCGAACAGAATGGATCCTGATCAGACTGCGCGGATGCGCAGGCTGGTCTGGATCCATGCTGGTCGCAAACCCACTATGTTGGTTTTGTCATGACACGGCTCATATAATTGGTGTGTTTATTGTTGTTATTGCTTTTCTTTACTTGCAATTTATATAAAACTACATTAGTCACAGTAAAATAATCTTTAATGCGCATCGTGAACTAAACAAAAAAATAATTTAAGTTGTTGTTGTTTTGTTGGGTTTTTTTAAAAAGAATTTTCTCCATCAACCCTCAGAGTTAAGTGTATAAAATGTTTATATCATTTGACATCGCTGAGCTGTCTGTGGCTTTCAATTTACTATAATTTTATAAGAATTGACTACAGTAATATTTATCCAATTACCTCATTTTTCATTTATAGAGACCCGTTTATGCATTATGACCGAGTTTTTAAAGCGACATATATATAAATCATTTGAGCCGTGTCACGACAAAACCAACATAATGCGTTTGCGACCAGCATGGATCCAGACCAGCCTGCGCATCCGCGCAGTCTGATCAGGATCCATGCTGTTCGCTTACCAACTCTATTACAAGTAGAGAAACTGATAGCGGATGCGCAGGCTGGTCTGGATCCATGCTGGTCGCAAACCCATTATGTTGGTTTGTTCGTGACGCGGCTCATTTGACAATTCCCGGCTGTACTTAAAATCTAGGCGTTACCTGTCGGATTGTTGAAGTCGCGTAACCAGGGTATTAAACTCCGGTGTGTCACACGGCTACAGCGCCTACCTTTAACATGCCCACGTTCCCACATCCGGCACCAGTATGTGTTAGTAATATAGAGTGCAGACTCCAAATGTGATTATAGAATTCAGGAAACCAGGCAATATTAAGTACGTATGCATCGCCGACAAAATACTGGTCTAAAATGCGCATCGAACCTTCGAAAGTACATAACTGAGGGTTTAACGATACAGAATCATGCACCACTCCAGCCATTGAGACCAAATATAGACAACAAATAAACACACAAAAAACAATGACACTTAATTAGCTTCAGTAACAATTTATTTTTTGATAACTTCAACTATATTTTTTCCAAACTTGAAACGTGAATTAAAGAGTGAATCTGTAATATGAACAGTACAATAATCAATAAATAACATTACCATAAAAAACATCCGTATACATGTACAAACATTCAAATGTCAGGTCGCTTTCTCACACTTTTTTAATTGTTCTAACTAAAGTAACAATTTTCATACTGCTGTTTCCTTAAAAATATAGAAAATATTTTTTTTCAAAGTTTTATCTCTGATTACTTATAACATTATGCAAAATTTTGTCAGTATTGTGAATGAAAGCTCCGCTTTTCTAGTAAAAAAATTTCTTGCTACATAAAATAAATTTTCTAAACTTGTATTTACCATTTTTCATCCATATTTTGTTGAAAACAAATTATCTTACGATTAGTAATCATGAACATGTGTATTTCTATACATGTACGTCTATAAATAAATTCAGACATCTTAAGTCAGTAATGATGAATAACCCAGTATCGTTTGTAAAATAATAATAGCTCAATTCCTTAAAGGCCCATTATGACTCAGAAATGCTTTTTTTTAATTCTAAAAAACCTTTTTAATTTTGGTGTACTTTTAATTTGTTTTAAAGTATCCAAAAAGTTACTCATTGGCCAATTACTTGAACCATCTTTTTTCATCTGTTGCTATGTGACAATAAGTACAGTTATTGTAAATTAGTATCTTGTATGGAAGTAGTAATACTACATTGTACTCTTTTTTTACATTTTGCTACCTTTATTTATGACAAATTATGGTAACAAACATATAATATTTGTTTTAACCATTATAAAAAAACATGTTTGTCCTTTTCTAAAGATGTAAAAATTTCTTTCTTTCTAAGGCATAGCGTGCCTTTAAAGATTATCACTTTACTTTTTATAAGTAGATGTAAACTAACTTCAATAAACACAAAACACACGATTTATTTATATCATATAAAATATTGATCTTAAAATATAATAATGTTAAGATCGTGGTTATAATTCAGCTTTGGAAACGACATGATTTCTTTAAAGTAAACATTGATAGAAGTAACTAAAAATAGAATTAAACCTTACATTTAGATTTCAAAGGAATCTTAATTCCTGCCTATAACACTCACGAGAGGAGTTGGCAGAGTTGGCAGTATTCCAAGATAGCTAGATAAAATTGAATATTAAGACAAAACTTTGATTGACTGGCTTTTATTACACATGGACACTGAAAAAGTCACATGACATTCTTCCAGCTGTGCATGTGGAGGAAGACCTCCGGTGCTTCTCCCAGACTTATTTCAGGCACCAGAAAATATTCCAAACGTTTATTAGACTCCCCTTTTACAATTTTGGTTATTTTGATCGCTTCACAGGAATATAATTATTCAAAAAAGTCCGCAAATCTGCAAAGAAACCCTTCAATGGCTTCATCATAGAGTGCTTCCTGCCAAAGTTACTTTTACTTGCCACAAAAATTTAGCCAGGCCTCACAGCACATTAGAGCAGTCTGGTCAAGCTCAACTGTAAAGACATTATAATTTTAGTAATTTAATTTTGAATTCCATTGATATCGCACTGAAGTGAACCTAACCCTATCCCTGGTTAAAAATCATTACGTCTCTGAACCTAACAAAAATCATATGTCTCTGAGTCACCAATGGACAGTTTTAAATTTCATTACACAATTAGAAACACCCCTGTGTTTTTCTTATCATAGAAGGTATCTGGATATAACCTAGCATATACACGTTCAAACAATTTTTGAATATGTACTTTTTACGTAACATACATTCATATCATATAACAGTTCTAAACATTTGAGAAAATTTAAACAAAAAGGGAGCTAACTCTTTTACCAAACTTGTAAAATCTTCTATGTGAATCTGATTACAGCATTAAATACAATTTCTAAAACGAAATTCCAAAAATTCATTTTTCTGTCATAATTTAACCACTGCAAGTCATTTCAAACCTCGGAAAAAAGCTCCATATTCTTGTCATACCTCTATGATCAGAGATGTAGATAACATCTATGTCATAAATTTACAAAATTTTTGATTCAAAAAGAAAAAACATATATCTGAAAATAAAACGCTGCACCCCTAAAGATGAGCAATCCAACTTTTAAAAAGATCAACTTTAACAAAATTACATTAAGAGTTTAGGAAATGAAGAAATATATATCAAAACCAGACTAAATTGACTATTCTAATTAGAACAGACCCAGACAAAATGTGTGTATCATTAGGCAAATCTTATACAATTTATATGTATTTTAAATGCCTTATTTCTGCTTATGAGCTAGCCAAAACAACTTAATTTGTTTACATGATAACATTTTTTTTGCAACTTTAAACATTTCCTAAACTTTCAGAAATAAGCACAAATCTGGTGGAGTGTTCCTTTAAGGAATAAAAACCAACTACTTATCATACAAAAAAAAAAATCTGAAATGTGATAATTATTCTAACTTCAATGAAGTCTACTAAGCAATTTTCAGTAATCTGAAGATATCTTTCTCAAACCTTAAACCAATATTTGTGTCCCCACCCCACCCCCTCCCACACTCTTTTAAGACAATTAATCAAAAAATAAAGTCAATTCAAATATCATCAATTATCAAAAATTATTTACAATATACCAATGAAATAGTCAAAGTCACTTTGAAACAAAAATTAAAAAAAAAACGCACAAAAACTATAACTAATTTTGATCATTACCAGCATTGTATTTTCATTTGAAAGAAAAAATAAAAAAGACTGATAAATATGTATATATCAATAAAAAACTCTATCTACATTACAAAAATTTTAAACCCTTACCAAAAGAAAAGATTACCCCCTAATTTATATGAAAATATGCATCAGTAATATAAGACAAAAAAAAAGTTGTTTTTTTTTTTAAATAAATTATCACATACTTTATCATCACATATTCAAAATTATTTTATTATTTCTTATTTCTTGTTCATACAGGCTGAAAATTAAAAATAAAATGGGCTATGTTTATAGATGGTTTAAAAAAATGTTATCAGCCAATTAAACAAGATTTTCTGATTTCTGATTGTTTCGACACAAAGAAGAAAAAATATCAAAATATTGTTAGAACATGACATTTGAAATGTTTTAACTACACATTCTATAGCTGTACATTGAACATGAACATGTGTAAAAATTTATTTAATGAGGCTAGCACATTCATTTTCCCAATCTTCAATGTTGGCCTCAATTTCAACTTACTGTAATTTGACAAAGAAATTATAAATTGTTTTAACAGTGTAATTTTCAATCAAATATTACATCCGGCATATATGTACAATTAAATTATCAAATGATAAAAGATGCATTAAAATGTCTTAAAGCGGCCTTCAGCATTTCTTTTCTTTTGGAAAAATAATTCTGTGTTGTTTCAGACTAAGTATTTCAGAAATTTTATCTTGGTAAAGTGCATCATATCACTGTGAAAGCCATCTTCAAAACAGCGTCCCAATAAGTATTAATAACAAATTAGTGACTTACGTTTCTAAAAATAGAAGATCCGGAAACAAATCATCTGCTTTACTTATTTAGATATAGAGTGGACCGGTAGATCACAGGTATAGAGGGGTTTTCTTATTGTTTATGTATTTTACCATTTTTTTTACCAAAATTTCATTTTCCATTTTAATTCTTTTGATCCGACAATTATACAAAATGATTTATCTAAAAATAACATATTTAATCTTAAGTAAAGCTAAAGGCCACTTTAACAGCATTTCTTACCTAATCATTAACGAGTCCGTATAATGTTTTAATAAGGAAAATCCCATTATGTTGGTAATGTAACATGATTTTGCAGAAAAAACTGAAGAAAAAAATCAATAAAACCCCATTACCACTGATTCATTATGTAAAATGATCCATTTAAATCAATATAAATTAATATAAATCATTAAGATGTTTTATGACATTAGATGAATCTCTGAGATGATATATGGAATAACAAAGTTTCATAAATCATTTGGCTAGATTAATCATTAAATCACTGAGATAATTAAGTTTGTTAAATCATTAATTCAAAGTGTATAAAGCTATATACTATGAAATATTTTCATAAAATTTATCACCAGTCAAATTTTATCGGTTCCATAATCTTATGGTTGATTTTCGATAGAGTTTTAACATAGAATATCTCTGTTATTTAATACACATGAATATTGTATGTAAACAGAATAAAATGTTACAGAACGAAATATTATTCTGATATTTAAAATAGGGTTTTATGAACTTTTATCTGTTTAGCAAAGATTTTCGTGCATGCACTATTCACTTTTAAGGCAATTTACTTCCATACTAGTATTTATTTCATACAAGCATTTTGGAAGTATTCTTTTTTTAAAATTAAAACTATAATTTTTTATAGCAAATGTATAGCTTTATACACTTTTATTAATTACATTAGATAAATCATTAAATTATCATGATAATGTATTAAATCAAATTCTCTGTTTAATCATTAAGATATTTTTTTCAACATCAGATGAATCATTAATCATCAACATGACAACAGGCAATCATTAAGATCATTTCATAACATAAATCATTATATAACTCAGATGATCATTAATTTGGCAATACATAATCATTAGGACAGACTCTTTACTTTTAATGAGTCATTAAATACATCTAATAAGGAATACATATTAAAACAATAAACTAAGTGAAATCATTAAAATTATATTCAAAATCATTAAGATGTTAATTGATTCAATACAAAATATTTATTCATTAATTAAATGAAGTGAAGTTTTAATGGCAACAGATCTAGGTAAAATAAACAGAATTAAGTTTTGAGAGAATAACTTCTCACAAGAAAAGCTTCCTATACAAAGATGATATGTACAAGTTACAAAATGACATGATTTCAGTGCACGACAATTCATAGTAAGACATTTGGTCAAATGAAAAACATGTCAACATAAATTTCAGATGTGATATAAAGAAAAATATTGGGACTATATCAGTCTGATTATTGTGCAGCAATAACAAATGATTAAATGAGCCGTGTCAAGACAAAACCAACATAATGCGTTTGCAACCAGCATGGATCCAGACCAGCCTGCGCATCCGTGCAGTCTGATCAGGATCCATGCTGTTCGCTTACCAACTCTATTACAAGTAGAGAAACTGATAGCGACTGGATCCTGATCAGACTGCGCAGATGGGTAGGCTGGTCTGGATCCATGCTGGTCGCAAACGCACTATGTTGGCTTTGTCATGACGCAGCTCAAATGTTGTACATCATATATATATTCTACAACAAAACTGACAGCAACAAAAAACATACAATGGAACTACGATCAGTTCTTTTCCTAAACACAAGTGTCCTTTCCAATAAAAACATCAATAGATAGTTCAATGAGAAATTATCATTATGCAACTCTGATTTATTGTAGATTTTAAAATGGTTCCTTATCTAAAGGCAAGTAAATTTTTTAATATTGTTGACGTCTGCCCCCATATCTTGATACATACATGTACAAAATGAATGAGATAATTTTGTACTTAAACGACCCAAGGGATTAAATTTTTCAACCATTATATATTCAGGTGAGCCCATACATCTATCCAGTTTATGTTTTAATCAGGTTTAACTTTAACTACTAGCTGACCAACTTTAAATTTCCATTTTTCTTACTTGTACCTCAAAATTGATAATGAACAGTTACAAAACCAAAATAGAAAGTGCACAAGTCTATTAGAAAAAATTCAGCAAGTTAAATAAGAGTTAATAATTTCCAAATTAACTATCTGAATGCCAGTGGAAATGTTAACTTTCCTATTCCAGCAGTACAGAGGTCAATCTGCACATCCCTGCAGTCATACCAAGACTCTTATAACTATTTTCATAATTCTTGTACTGACATCCCTTTAACTAACAATGATTCATTCCTCATTCAAAGCTGGACTAGTCAACTGCATCAATTAAGTGGGGTTAGGGTGAAACAAAAATTTGCAAAGAATAAGAATTGTGCATTTTCTAGAGATATTGAATTTGTGATTTTAATTATATGTATCAAGAGTAGAAATTTAAACGTTAAATTCTTGGATGGCTTAAGATCCATTTAGTAGGTACAATAAAATTAAAGTAATCCAAAAATCGAAAAACAGTTTCTGCATAGATATGGTACTGTAGCAATACTTTAACATATATAATCTTCACCACATATAATTGTAAAGTGTTTCTTCATGATTATCTTTTAAATTTCTCTTGTTTATACATTAAAGTTTTCATCTAACTATCTAATTATTTACACAATTGTTAATTATTTTTTCTCTTGTTGCTATTAATACATATCGACCAATGTATAAAAAAAATATAAAAAAGAGAGTTCTTATTTATAATATCAAAGGTACAGCATTTTAGCTCTTTGATTTAGACAGGTTAACATCAGGTATATTTGTACATCTAGAAGAATTTCGTGGACAGACAATCACCTAAAGTAAGTCTATAGTTGGCTATCTCTGTTATACCGTGGTAGTGTACAAAAGCTGCGGCCAGGACAAACACATGAAATATCTGATGACTCTGAAACTGTAAAACCAAATGACAATAAGAAATACTTACTTTTTATTTACTGAAGTTTATGTTACACTACAATACAATACTGTGCTTCCTATGCTTAACTACTTGAAAAAGATCTTTATTGCATCCTAGTAAATTATTTCAGACATAAGCCATAATTTAAGTGAAAACACTGACCTCCGCTAGCTCGATGTTCGCTTTGTTTGGTTGTCTGATTTTTACGCTGATTTCAACACGATTTTAATCATATCTAGGTGATCAGTCCACCTAACAGACTTTCCTGGATATCTTACAGTAATCACTAAATTTTTGGCCAGTGACAGACTTTAAATCTTATCCTGAATTAGACACGATGTCGGAGATCAATCGTCACAAAGAGAAAATCTCCTCAACCCAAGGATGGCACCAGATACCACTGGATAACAAACATGATGTTCTTATAATTCAGATCACTGCCACATTTTTGCTTAGAATGCAATGTTGAGGAAGCATTTCATTACCTTGATGCAGTAACGGGTTAACTCCTATTAAATCATATAAGGAGTTAACCAATTACTGCACTAAGGTGATGATTTTTCTAACCCACCAATGTTTTTTTTTACATCATTAAAATTACACAGTAAATCAATACATGTACATAGATAATTTTGGAAACTTGTCTGATGCCATCCTAGAGAAAAAATTGTTCAATGTCATAGCTTAATATAAATACAGGTATGCCCATGTCCCACAATTCCAGAGTCAACTTTGACCTTTTAGAAAAACATTGACCCTGGAGACAATGGTCATGATCAAATATAATTACCCATCAAGGTATAACGTATAAATTGCATACATTGTGTCAGAAAAATCTTTTCATTGGCTTATTTTTTAGCTTAAAATTGGTGTAACTTCCCAAATCAAAAATATTATCTTTTTAAAACTTCCCCAATTGGTGAAAGATATATACATGTATGCTTAACAATGTGTAACATTGTGAGCTCTTCTGTTTCCATCCACAGATAATGTTTTCTGATTTAGAGCTAATCTAACATCCTCCCAAAAATTATGTAAACTCTAAATATTGAGAAGAACCCAAATCCCAAAAATACCAATCGATCATGTTTCCAACATCCTAAAAAATCTCCCTTTTACAGTCTATGCTATTAATTTGTCTTAAATAATGTAAACCATGTATAAAGGAAGAGGTGGCCTAGTGGTTAAGGTGTCTGCCTCACAACCCAGGGACCATGGGTTCAAGTCCGAATCTGGTCATGACCATGTTTCTTCGTACGACACTAGTACTGGTTGGTTCCAGGAAGCGGACTCAAACTTGTTTTGAATTGGAGCTTAAATAAATATGTTTAAACCAAATGATGTAATGTAAGTCAGGACAAACTTGTACGTACCCAGATATCAAACTTTCCAGGGAAAAATCTCTCAGGAATCCTCACTGCATAGATGATTGCACCTGTTATGTACAGAAAAGCCATCAGCACCAACCAACCGAGTGACGCCTTATTGACCGCATCCCAGAATCCCACTGTGCTAACAATATGAATGGCTGGAATCACACCACTAAGACCGAAAGCTATAAACACTCCTACAAATGAAATGCAACATACGATTAAAACTCCATGTTAACATGTATGTTTAAGTATCTGTTTGTTTGTTTGTTTAATTGGGTTTTACGTCACACTGACACATTATAGGTCATATGGCGACGTTCCCACTTTACTGGTGGAGGAAGACCTCAAGTGCCCTTCCAGGCACAAACAGGCACCAGAGTAGAACCACCGACATCCGTAAGCTAGCTGGATAGCTTTCTCACATGAAAAAATCCAAAGTCCCTGAAGGGATTCGAACCCACAGCGGTGAGGGGCAAGTGGTTTGAAGTCAAAGACCTTAACTACTCTGTCACGGAAGCCCCGTTAAAGTAGCAACCTTACCCTTTACTTGCTGAATTTGTGTAAGGAACTTGCCCTTCTTTCAATTTGGGACATTCAAGGTTTAAGGAATGTCAACATCAAAGCTGGTCAGGCTGCATGGATGAGCAGGCCATTCCGACACTTAACTAGCTGCAAAAGCAAATCACTTTTAGTTTCAGCAGGTTAAGGTACATTAACAAAACATTTATTTTGGTCAAAACAATCTGATATTGAAGTTTTGGTAGCATGCTGAATAAAATTCTGATTGCCCTTTAGGCATTGTTTCAGGCACATGAGTAGTTAATATGATTATTCTCCTTCCACATTCCAACAAAATACTCCATAAGCCTATTTTCTCTTTCAAAGTGTACATTACTCACAAAACAAATATGTTCTTACCTTTCTTCACAAGAATTTCTCTAAATAAAGAAATCAAAATTGTAAAATAAACATCTACAACACTGATAAATGTTCTCCCAAATTTGCGTTCGCAATGCTAAGATCATGGCCATACAACAAGGAAAAGAATACAATTCTATTTTAAGCTATAAGTGACCTTGATAGAAACAACTTGAAACACTACTGAAGGGTAGAGTTCCATGTAATGTGATTATGTCTCTGTCAGTACATGATTGATAAAAAACCATTTCTTTCACAAGGTTTTTAAGGCCTTAAAGTTCAAAATTAACAACTTACATTAGTAAAATGTAGTTAGAAGCACTATTGCCAGTATTATGCAGTTAGAAGCACTATAGCCAGTATAAACTAAAAATAAATTTCCTTTGATTTTTTTTCAAACTTAATAAAACTTTTTTTTTCAAGATCAAGGCAGAAATTTCAAATTCAAGGATTTTTCTAGCCCATTCAGTTAATTTTCAAGTATTTTCAAAGGGTCCTGGAGGTAAAATTTATTTTTCAAGGGTGTTTCAAGAGAGGCATAAAAAATCATGGGTTTTTCAAGTCCTGTGTTAACTAAGCAGTAAATAATACTACTATGAGAAATGAAAATATCAGTTTGTGTGGAAGAAGGATGGACAGAAGGACAAACCAGCTCAATCAACATATTTTTGAAAGGACAAAATACATACCAGCCCTGAGAGCTCGAAATCTTGGTAAACTGAATTTATCCCAAAGTGATACTACTATACAAGCTGTTCCGAGGGAAAATGTCAGTACCATATATATGATCTTTATTCCCATCTGACAATAAAATCCATAATATAACCATGGTACAAACGATCCCATTGTCAGGAAAGCTATCCCGCAGTAATCCAACCTGAAACAGAAACATTACTGTCAATTTTCAGACAAATTAGTGAGCGTTAAGTCTCATTAGTGAGTGATATACTTTATATCTCATAGGTAAGTCATATAGACTATAATGCAGTGATGAGTGATATATTTCATATCTCATTGGTAAGTCATATACATTATCATGCAATGATGAGTGAGATAGTTTTAAATTTATATTTCATTAGTAAGTAATATAAATTATCCATCCTATTGGAGAATGATATATATTTTATCTCATTGATGAATGATATTGAATATATCTCACTGATACAATATCATTTTTTCATTTAATAGCGTACCCATCAAATTTATATCACATACAATGTATTCATATAGAGTAGCATATAAATAACATGTACATACTCATTTATACAGTATAAACATAATCACAACAAAATTTGCCATAATCATGCACAATCATTTTATTTCAAGAACAAATAATTAAGTAACAGTGATACTTTTCATATATAATACTTGTTCAAATCACTTACTTGTTGAAAAGTTTCCCTATTCTCTGTGAATGGTTAAAGACTGTGTGAAATACCCATGAGAAACCCAGACACATGATGGCACCCATGAAAAACGCTGAGAATACAGCCTTTTCCTGCCACTGGATTTCAATTGTTGGTCGAGACAGAAAATAGGCAGTGATCCCTAGGAAGGCTATCATACCTGTAAATTGGAGAAAATTTACATTACTTCATGAATATAATACACCTACTTAACATTTCACAAACACCAAGTAATCAATGAATGTTTATTGTTTATTTGTCGAAAAAACAGCACTTAAAGTTTTCTAAATCTTTCAATGCTAGTGTTTGTTTTTCTTGTTGATGGTGTTTGGTTTTAAGTTACACTGATACTGTAATTGTCATATGGCGACTTTCCACCTTTATTGGTCAAGGAAGACATCAGATGTATTTAAGACACAAGACGTGGAACTGACTTTAATTAAATATGCTATCAATATGGAGTCCATGAATCTAAACAAATTCAGTACTGTTGCATGGCTAACTATAGTATGATGCCATCCTCCTTCACAATGGCAAGTTCAAAAGATCACCTGAACCAACTTTATCATTCCTTCTTTATTTTTAATAGCTTGTACATGTACTTGTATATCTAATTCTTTTTACAAGATCCCTTAACATGATGTTCACAATTGCTTCCTCTTAAAGAGTTCTTAACCTACTGGCAGCAACAACTTCCCCACATGGATAAGCAGAGGCAAACTTGTGTCTTCTAAAATTCATAACTGTTATACAAGACAAAAATCATGTGGAGTAAGTCAGTCACTTGTAGAGAAATTGTTAATTACTAGTGAGTCATCCAAGAAAGGCAGGAAGGTGGATTGACAGCAGTGATTCAAACAGAAATATGTTTAATCAGTATAAAACTGAACAAACAATGTCATGGTTAAGAAAACTGGTCAATTTTTACATCAAATATTTGTTTAAATGTCCACTCACCTAATAAATGGGTCCATATATTCCCTGTTTCAGTGTGTATACGAAAAACAGACTTAAAGCAGGCCACAAAGGAATTTGTTGGCAATCTGTGACCTTTATGTAGAAATTCATTGTCTCTTAACCAATTTGGCAAGGTATTATGATGGACAACGCGCCAACCGGCTTCCCACACCTTCTTCACAAACTCCTCCGCTTGTTCAGCCGCTCTGCACGGCGCGGTAAAAAAGTCGCCAACACGAGAATGAATCTCAGAATCATCGTCATCATCAGTTTCATACACTACTTCTTCTTCAATTACTGATGTGTTCAAAGATCTGCTGTTTCCCTGTAAATTGAAATGAAAACATAGAACTTTAAAACTTCATCACAGCAGGCCTGTGAATACGAGTAAAATGAAAATGTACTCTGTACAATTTGTGTTAAACGCAAGCTAAATAAGCTAAAATGAAGAATATTTCATTTTGTCTTACAATTCCTAGTAATGATTTCAAAAATATCAAACATGACGCAGGACCTTTAGAGTAAAATGAAAATGTAGTCTATGCAATCTGTCTAAAAAATTATTTCAATAGAACTTAAGATAAGCTAAACTAAAGAACATTTGTTTTACAACTGCTAGTAATGATTTCGAAAATATTAAATATGATGCCACTAAAGAACATTAATTTTGTCACTTATTTCGCTACTTGTCTGGCAATAACATACACATTAAGTTATAAACCCTTAACCTGCTGGAATCAAAAGTGATCAGTCTTTGCAACCAGTATAGAGCCAGGCCAGCCTGTACTTCTATGTCATCTGACCTTGCTACAAGCTCCTGGTAGCTCAATTATTGTAATATGATATTGAAGACCCTAAAACCTTGATTGGGATTGTTCCAAATTCAAGGAAGGCAAATCCATTACACAATATCGAAAGGTTAAGGGTTAATATGAAACTTCATTAACCCTTAACTGGTATGATGGACTTGAATGGTCCTACTTTGACTTGGAATAGTCTATTGTTAATATGAAGGTATGAGGGTTTAATATATAAAACTGGTGAAATTGCAGTGAACAGATTAGATGTCAATAGAGACAGGACATGTTGCACCGAAGTACAGGCTATGAACTTTATGTAACAAAATTGAAAAGCTATTTATCAATAATGACTTCTTTCAATCCATGATTACTGTACACTGTATTTATTTGCCTATATAAACACTTTTTGTTGGTGGGTCTTAGCTTCTAAAATTGATTTAACAGAAAAAGTCTGTCAAATAAATATTTCACCACATTTTTGATCCGCTTACATTTAGACAGTAGAGAAAACACCTTAAAGCTACAATCCCACAAAGCTGCAAATTTTACTTCTATGCATATTTAATAACAGCAAACATATATGCTGATGTTTTCAGACCCGTTTTGTGTGGAAGTTTTAAATAACAAAGTAGGTAGGGTTTTGTTATAGGTAAAATACGGTACCTTTGAACCATTTCCTAATAAGTGTCCTTTCACTATCTTATCATGATTTCTGCTGCCTGGTAGACTATCATCTTCATCATCACTACTACTGTTGATATATACATTTCTGTACAATAAAATATAAAAACTTTTGTAAAATCACTGCATTATATATATAAATGAGCCGCATCACGACAAAACCAACATAGTGGGTTTGCTACCAGCATGGATCCAGACCAGCCTGGGCATCCACGCAGTCTGATCAGGATCCATGCTGTTCCCTATCAGTTACTCTACTTGTAATAGAGTTGGTAAGCGAACAGCATGGATCCTGATCAGAATGCGCGGATGCGCAGGCTGGTCTGGATCCATGCTGGTCAAAAACGAATTACGTTGGTTTTGTCATGGCACGGCTCATATGTGCTTTATTTTGGCAGGCTTGTAAGCTGGCAATAAAATTCAACAAGTATATTTCAATGCTGACAAAAAATGTTTCACTGCTGACAAAATAGGCTTTGTGTAGTATATTTTGTTGCTGATAATACACTTAAACAACATATTTCACAGTTAACAATGGAACATAACTCAGTGAATTTTCTCACTTAATTGGGAAAAGACCTTAGCCTCTTCATTTTGGGAAAAATTATTGCTAAAGTTTCAAATTTGGGAAGAAAGAAAGCTGGTGTAAGTTTAGATATTTGGGAAAACCTGCATGATTTCAAAGAAAAATTCATTTGAGGAGAGGCCTTTTATAGGTCTCAGTTATACAAGGTGAAAATCACTGTAATAGGATATTTTATTGCTGACTAAAAAAGTTTAACACTACACATGTATATTACATGTACATGTATTTCACAATGATGATAATACAGTTTGCCTGCTGACAATAAAATTACATGAAGCAATCTTACAACTTGAGTCTTAAAAACTTACGGATTCCTACTAGCAACTCCGTTGGAACATTTAGGTTGTAACACTACAGGTTCTGCCTCTATGTACAGTCCAATCTCTGATGATGCTCCTGCCATTTTTTATAACAATATTCTGAAAACAGATTTTACATTTACTCATTGTGTTATACTTGTGTATATACTTAACGTCTTACGGTAGCAACCCTTACTGATAAGCCTACATGTATTAGAATCAGCTTAACTTTCGATACTGTGTTCAGAAAATTGATTGTAAAACAATTAATTTTAGTATTGACCTTACCGGCAACTGAGTAGAACCACCTACATTCTAAAACCTAGATACCAGATACCGTCCTTACATGAAAGAATCCAAAGTCCCTGTCAGGTATCTAACCCACAGTGTGAGACAAGCGGTTTGACCTTAACCACTCAGCCACTGAAACCCCCTGTACAATATACCGGTAATTTAAGCTTTAAACTGATGTCAGAGTATTTATATGGTCACACTTTCTGTCTAATAGGAAAATCAATTCAAAACTTGCTTTATGCTACTGAACATTCAAAAGAAAATTGGTGACACTCTCTTTCAGATTAAACTTACTGATAGCAAAAGTCACTTCCTCATACTCTTACCAGGATATTGTACTTCCAATATAAATCACTGGAACTTTTTCCCCCATTAAATTTCTTTTTCCAAACTAAATTTCTTTTTCGCAATTAAATTTCTTTTTCCCCATTAAGTTTCTGTATTAATGGACAATATGTCCGATTAAACTGTAAATGTTACATAAAAATGTTACTCTAGTTATTATTTTTTCTTTTCGTGTTCTGATTGGAAAAATATGGATGATCCATCAACTTTAAATGAATGTAGGAAGTGTGACTGTATGTTTTGATGGCCTCCCCTTATGCTTTGAAATTTTAGGGGTCCGGTGGATGCAAAGACTAGAAAAGTAGGGGTCAAGGCCTAACTTTTAGGGGTCCAAAATTATTTTAACTGAAAGAGACTATGAAGACCACTCAATTCTGCAGAAAAATTATTTATTTACCCACTTAAAGGTACTGTTTTCAAACATATACAATTCAATATTGCTTTTTAAAATTGAATGTTTAAATTGGTTTGTTGGAACTTTTGTGGAACTTTTCACAGAAATGCAAGTGTCATAGAACATTTTATCATCATCACGCAGCCATTTAAATTTTTCTAGTCATGAAACTAGAAAATCCTGCTCATGTTTATAAGTTGCAGCTTCTGATGACTCTCAGTTGTCAGTTCAACTGACTGTATTACCTTCTCATTCATCTTTTTTTTTTTAACCCCCCCGAAAAGAAACAATTTAGCCGTTTTGCAGAGTTCTAACAAACCAGAAATCATCCACACATGTTTCTTTCTACACCAATCAATTGGCTGGTATTAATAATTGATACATGTATGTTACTAGTCCGTTAATGCCAATTTATCTATCTGTTCGAAAATGCAAATTCAGGAAGAAAGTGATATAATCAGATCAGGTCAGAAACTCTAGGAATATTCTTGTGCGTACACTTGGACATAAAAAGATAACTTTCTTACATACAGACACAGTTCAAGATTTACCTGTATTACTAAGGGAAGCAGAATTCTGCGTTTCATAAAACCCTGCATATCAGTTATCACTATTTTGCTATCTAAAAGTTCTTGCCATGAGAGCTGTGTTAAATGTTAAGTTAAAACAAGAGCACCGCATGTGGTGTTAAGGCTTGGCTCTTAAAAATTTAAAGTTAAAAATGTGGCATAACTCCAAAAACATTTCTTTCAGAATTCTAAGCCCCTTGTCATATTAAGCAAGTATTCTTGTTCAATCTTGGTTACTATTGAAATTTTTGAATAATGGGCTACACTAAAGCTTTGACAGGACAGAACGATGACACCCCAGTGATAATATTCATACGGGGAAGTCAAAGGCTGGGTTCGCGAAGCGGGCCTGGACTTTGGCTTGCCCAGCTATAGACAACATGTGTATATTTAAAAGAACATCAAATAAAAAACAATTAAAGAATACATAGAATTCTACGGTACGTTACGATACCGAAATCAACTTGATTTCGGTAAAGTTACCGAAATCAACTTTTCATTACCGAAATCAACTTATAAAATCACAATTAAGCGTTTTATTATATTTTTTTCATTATAATATATTACAATAGGTAAAGTTTGACTTTCATGCAAAAAATCAGTTCGAAATAATCATTAATAATGATATTAGAAACAAATAACTAAATATCAAGATTATTCCCTAATTTGTCACGAACCGAAATATATGTTACAATACCGAAATCGACTTGTTAAATCACAATTAAGCGTTCTATTATAATTTTTTCATTATAATCTATTACAATAGGTTTAGTTTGACTTTCATGCAAAAAATCAGTTCGAAATAATTAATAATTATGAAATTAGAAACAAATACCTATATATCAAGATTACTTCGAACCGAAATATATGTTACCATACCGAAATCGGCTTGTAAAAGTTAAAATAAACATTTTCATAGATCTTGTTTAATTAATTAATATAAAATCATTCAAACTGAACCATAAACAAAGGAAAATAATATTTAATTATAAAAAATGATGATGTTATTGACGGATATGTATATTATATCATGAATACTTCCCTTGTTATTAAGGTGTTGCATTACCGAAATCAAATCAGATTTCATTTCAAAGATGAGAACAACACCTAAAATATTTGCATGAATTTCAGAAGTCTATGAAAAAGGTATTTGAGTGAGTTTTAAACTTTGAATTCATATCGCTTATTTTCAATGTTTAGTCAGATAACATAGCAGCGTATCATCTCTTTGATGTTTCTTAATGATTTCAAAATACAAGATTAAACAAAACTGTGTTTGAAGTTATCCGCCTAATTTAGATCACTATTAAAATAGTTGATTGGAAATTATCACAGTATTTAATTTAAATCCAATAATTATGATTTGATTAAAATAAAAAGACGTAGCGGTAGCCATTCATCATAACACCTTTACTAATAAGGAGCAAGCATACACGTGCTCGGACAATGGAGGTGTTAGTTGACATAACATACTCGTTAACCGCAATCTTTTAAAAGACTTTTTTTATAGTTCTATATTATAAATATTTCAGATCTATTAAGCTGGTAAAAATATAATTTTATATTAAATAAATTGTCAAAAGACCTGTTTTAACTAATTTGTAGGGGTGGTCGCTAAACGTTTCCGTAGAAAACATTTCGGTATATGAGACAAGGTGCTTTGATATTATTATTACCAAATTGCCTATCAGTTGTTCCAAAAATGTATGCAATTTTTTGATGTCCCGGATACTTAACTACATATTCTACTTATTGAAAAAGTGTTAAGTCATGATTTTATGTTGATCGATTTAAAATCATTTTAAATTTCATATCTGTAAACAGCATAAATTTATGGAATGACTGGTATATATTTATATGATGAAAAAAAAATGGAACACTTTATACTGACAAATTTCAATTATGAAATGTTGTAACTTGTACGATATGACATGCTGTGTATTACTGTATTAAGTAAGGTGTGAAGTAATTAAGACAGGAGGTACAGTTGACATACAATGTATGTTAAAGATAAAAGATTATAATGAACCATCTGTTTATTTCGTATTAAACATTTAAATAAATGACTAAAATAAGTTTAACTGTTCAATAAAAGAAAGACACAAACTTTCCAATTTTACTGCCTGATACATTATACAATTTTTATGGAACATTTTCAGAGCAGTCGAATTATATATCTGTATTCAAATTTATAATAGAAAATCATAAACTTCTGGTTGAAGTTGGATATTTTTTCTTCATAAAACATAAACATGTACAAAATTTATAATTATCTTTAACTCATATTACAGAGTATTTTATTTTTCCATCATAGTCCGATCATAGCTTTTTAAAAATACGATTTGATTAGAATATTGTTATGCACGACAATCACGTGCAGATATATGACATGCTAATATGGCGGTATCAGACTTTTTCTTAAATCATTATATACATTGCATTCTAATATGAAATGGTATTCGTCTTCTAAGACATTACATGAAAAACATTTTCTATCATTTAAAGGTGTACTATTTGGTTTAGTCCATCTACCTGAGTCAATGTGCAATCTATGTGATAATACTCTTAACATAGTGAGATCTTTACAAAACCGTTCAACATTGATAATATTTAGATATGGTTGAAACTTAAAAACAGAAATATGTCTATAAAATAGAGCTCTACTAGAGTTATCTAATCTACTATCTACTAATTATATACATAATTTAAACTTCACCGCTGATTTCGGTAATGCTAAACACATAACGGGTTGTTTAGAACAAAGGCTAGTAACTCAATAATTACATTTTTGTTAATAACACCATTAAAATAAAATATTTTCAATAGATTTTTTAACTGAAAGTCTATTTCACTATTTTTCATCAAATAATGAAGAAATAATAGCAATATTTTAACTAGGTTGGTTTTTACGAGTTGATTTCGGTAATGCTAAACACATAACGGGTCGTTTAGAACAAAGGGAAGTAACTCAATAATTACATTTTTGTTAATAACATCATTAAAATAAAATATTTTCAGTAGATTTTTTAACTGAAAGTCTATTTCACTATTTTTCATCAAATAATGAAGAAATAATAGCAATATTTTAACTAGGTTGGTTTTTACGAGTTGATTTCGGTAATGAAAAGTTGATTTCGGTAACTTTACCGAAATCAAGTTGATTTCGGTATCGTAACGTACCCAGAATTCTATACCATCAATGAAATTTTCAGTGTCAGTTCTAGTTGGGCGGTGCCATTTTCAATGTTATTCAATGATAATAGGCGGGTTATTCTGATTACGGTCAATCGCAACTTTTCGGCTAAATAATAATCGTCGAGTACTGTATTGCGAGTGAAAATGAGCGGTGCATATAATGCCAAATGTCACCTTTAAAACGAAAAATTAACTTTTAATTAACCGACTTCCCCATTCTTAGGCTTTGCCTAATTTCATATCAAAACAATGACACTGATGGAAAAGCTGTACCTTGGGGGAATAATGTATGTGATACCAAAACACTTGCATGTCATCCCAAAAATGGATTTTGACTCACGTGGGACAAACCAACAAATTATACAAACAAATAGCCTAATTAATTCGGCGTGATCGGTTTGACCCATTTTACAGACTTTTGTTTCTTACTGTCAAACCGTTACGCCTAATTTTAACTGTCATTTTTACGCACGGAAAATCTACCGGTAACACTATCGATAGTTTGGACTGATTTTTACTGCTTAAACCTAAAAGTAACTTCAATTACCTCTAAAGATCAATAGAATATAAATTTTAGTACTAACTTCTCCTAGAAAAAAATATTAGATTGTACCTGTCTTAACGCATACATGCGATTTATTTCAAATTTGTACTGTCTACTCTATCTTCGGCGGACATGTTATGACGTCATCGTAAAAAATCGATTCCGTGAAAGCTGGTAGTAGCTACCAGTGTGTCTAGCAGGTAAGTGTGGGTTACGCATGAAGATTAAATTAAACAAAATATCGGGGGAAATAAATCTATTCATCATTTTTTAATAAATGTGTGCATTATTAAATACTATTGAAAAGTATCATTGTATTTAACCTAAAATGCAATGGTCCTGTTGTTTAATATTTTTTAAATATTTTAATACATGTACTCAACATTTATCAATTGGTGGTTTGCCTTCTTGTTTACTGCTAATGACTGCCAAATGTCACTCTCGGATAAAATACTGACTTTATTTATACATGCATATTTATATGACAATTAAGAACGTAAAAGAAATATTGAAGGAAACTATTTGAAATACACTTCAAATTATTCAGTATTTGTACAAATAATATTTCAAGAGCTCTTTTTTTTCACCGATTGCCGATGTATAATACCATATTAAACCTATTGATAAAGTTAAATGTCTTCTTGACATACTTTATTAATTTACTAAAAGGGAACTTTATTGTGATCCAGCCATATGCTGTGTAACTATAAAGGAAGGGTCACATATTTAAAGGAAGGGTCACATATTTTAATTGAAATAAATCTTTTTATATAGGATATTAAAAAAAAGTCATTGAGAAGATCAGATCTTTTCAAATGAACAGATTAAGACTTATAAATGTATAAGGTGTATGTCTTGTTGTTTCATACTGTTTTGGTGACACTTTTTTGTTTGTGTCCCTTGTTGTTTTCTCGTCTATGGTAAGTATCTTCCCTTTGCCCCTAATTTTATTTCTTTATTTCGCCCCCCTCCCCCGAATTTCCTATCCCCTTCCCCTGTGCCTGTTAACTTAGTGGTCCTGTTTCATACTGTTTTGGTGACACTTTTGTTTGTGTCCCTTGTTGTTTTCTCGTCTTTGGTAAGTATCTTCCCTTTGCCCCTAAGTTTTTATTTCTTTATTTCGCCCCCTCCCGAATTTCCTATCCCCTTCCCCTGTGCTCGTTAACTTAGTGGTCCTATTAATCATTCATTTATTTATTTTCTTTGATTTCCTTCTCAGTTACATTTTAGTGATAAGCCTGACCGTGCTCTCCCTTGCGCCCTGTCCCGTTTTAATTTAGAATCATCCTGGGCTCCTTGCCAATGGTTCATGTTCCTGGGTCGTGTGGGAGTTGCGTTCATTGAACGCCGCCTTTCCTTGTTCATCATATTGTATACATGTATACCGAACCGTAACAAACAGATAATGATTATCAATACAAGGTTCGGCAAGCAAGCAAAGAAATGTAAAGAAACAGAAGAAAAAAACTTATCCACAATCATGTATCCCCCCTCGAAAAAAAACCCACCAAAAACGCCTGAAACTGCAAAATCGAAACATAAATACACAGGAGTGCCAAAGACGGCTCTGGTAGGTGTGAGTGCTCCCTTTCGCCGGTTTAAACAGAATTGAAAACTTAAACATAATAATGTTGAAATTATTAATCAACATCCACAAATGTGTACATAATACGGCGGTAATCATGGAACTTTCAATGTGACACATTCGAGGTGCCGTTCAACGGGAACTAGACAACATGGAATTTTTAATGGGTATCAGAGGTTTTGGTGTCCTTTTGCGACAGTCGTTCAAACATTTCTCCCATCTGTCTTACATTGTTATGCTATTCAACGTCTAAATAACGGTCACTAAATTTCCTCTTGCTGCGTTTTTATCATAAACCCCATCAAATCTGTGCGACAATTGTATTTTACTGAGGACTGTCTGAAATTCCATTTTATAGTTTGAAATTTTAAGATTTTTTTTTCGGAATTTTAAAGTTATTTTTGGTTGTTTTGAACTTCTTCCCCTTCACAACCGTCCTCAATTTCTTTTAAAGATAATAAACTAGAAATTGATATGGAGTGTAATATAAATTGAAATTCTTCTTTGCTTCATCATGTATAGTATAATTATAATTATAATTCATTAAGATGTACCTACAATTTCATTGTATTTTCGTATGTGGGAAATCATGGCAGGGTTATAAAATAAAAAGGTAGTTCAGAAATTTCACTTAATGATCACAGATGTTAAAAAATCCAACTTAATAATATCTAATTTGACAACTTAAATGCAGTATGATCTGACATCATAAACTATTTAATTTGTAAGTAAGGTTATCAGAATTTTCTTTTCAAATTCTCTTTTTAATGCTGAAATATTTGTGTGTGAATAAAAGAGTTATTCCTGCAATAATTCATATAAATAACATAAACAAATTGTATAATAAAGCTTGGCAAATACAATCGATCGCCGCCGATACCTGTGTTACACCATGGATTTTACCATGACACCGCTTTCCAATATGGCCGCTTTCAATAACATTCAACGATTAAAAATTAAAGTGGAATATTTAGACTTCTGTTCGACTTTGAAGTATGATAATTTGGAATCTTGCATAAAAAACGATTCTCGTTCAGGTAATGTATACCGTTTCTTTGAAACTGTTCTAGTTTTCGCTCCCAACAACTTCTAATTGGGAAGCGTCCGTGCATAAAAATGCAGTTCGTGGTTGGACTTGGAAAAAGACAGCGCCCGTCCAAAATTATCTCGGTGTCTCTTTGACAAGTCTAATTAGTTGGACTAACAAACAAAAGGAAATAGAAAGGTATTAAATTGAAGCTTATAATTTCAAAATGAAAAACAATGATACAGGAATCTTCTGTTTTTTACTAGTGCGACATTGATTTGTTTCATTATTTGTTGACCAGTTGACCCCGAGAAAAAAGTGTGTCTGACAACAAAAGTTACGCAAGCTTTCACAGTGAGAGTTTTAACTAATTTTCAGTGGTAAACTGTGTAATTTCAATTCAGTAGCAAAAACGTATTTATCATGATTACTCACTGGTGTTTTTAAAACAATAGTTCAGTCATTTTGGTTAAGTAAAATATGTCAACAAAATGATTCCTTGTTCCGCTGGTTTCTATGTTGTCAAGGAAAAAATCAGTAGAATCCGGATACCACTGATCTAACTCATTCGGGCGCTTTATATTTTTGTTTGTTGTATGATTTGGCAAAAAAGAAAAGTTTAATCAAGTTTTCTTTTAGCTAAATTTGTTCTCTTTTTTTTTCATAGTCAAGTTGACCTGAATTGTCTATTATATATTTCATGGTGATTGACTGACAGTTGATATTTGAAAATCTTAACGATAAAATATAATTCTGCCTAAAATATAAAAAGACGGGTTAGACTTAATACCGGACTGCCCCACTCTTTTAATAAATTGAACGTTACACGTAAATTTCGACGGATATTTACAGAGATTTTCTTGGCCTACATGAAATATTTATTGTTCATGTGAAGTTTATTATAAAGTTGAAAAGAATTATGGCCAAAATGTAAACTTATTTTGACTTTCTAGTAATAAATATGGTACCTGATATTTTCAAAGTGTAATAAAATCAAAACTAGACGGTAAAAGTATTTCATATTTTACAAGATCAACCAATATACTTCTTTAAACATTTAGGGAAACTTTGAAAACAGGCACTCATTTGGGTAAATTTAAGGATTTTTTAAATTAGGCTCCCTAAGTAGGAAAATGGTCAGACACGTGGTAAAAATGGGTGGGGTAATCATTTTTATACAGATTTCAAAAAATTTATGTAGAAACCATAATTTTGCTTATGTGGATTGTTAGCTGAATGGTACTATTTGTTTCTTACCAAAAATTCATGGGAAAACATTTTTCTTTAGAATGTTATTGCAGATTATTTAAAGGTTCCTCATTTCTAAAAAAGGGCCCTCGATCATAACATCCTAGCTTGAGTTCAGAAAAGTGGCCATAACTTGATTTCCGTACGGTAAACTTTGTTTAGTTTGGCATACATGTGTACTTTAAGGTATATATCTGACCTATATGGTGTCAATTTTTTAGTTCCTTATAGTGCCCATTAGGGTGGTAATACCTTAATTCTATGTATATAAACATTGAATATTTTCATTTTTTTTTCTTACGGTTTATTTTTTAGTTTTTGAAACAAAGGGCGCTAATCACTATGACGTCATGGAAATCTTTACATATGCTGCATCACGATGTTCATCCTACTTTGCTTTGCCTTATAGATCGGAAACCGACATTCTATATATATATTCCAATCAGGTTAAAACTTTGCAATATATTTTTTCATCTTTGTTACCTAGCTTCTACAGTTTATACATTATAGCAATAAAACTAGTAAAACATTTAAGTGCTATTAAAAATTTCATGAAATAACGAAATTTTATCAATACATTAATTAGAACTACCATGACACCCCGTCGTGCGTTCCATTTGTATGTATAAATGTGTAATACTTAAATTAAATTAACATCTCGATCATTAGTAACTTTTTATCTTATCTCTTCTTAAGTAGAATGCTTGACAGCAGATTGAATGCTGTAGATGTAAATATAATTAATTCTCCTGTCAAAACTGTTATTAGAATTTCACAAATTTATTATTCGGGCAAATATCATTTGATTTTCGCATGGCTAATCGGTGAAAAAAAAATGCAGTTCAATGCCTTTTCTATATACTTTTAGTTTAGGAGTGTATGTTTATTATAATCAAATCTTACAAAGTAGGGAGACAAGCGCCTTGAATACACTGATCAAAGATGTCTGCGCCCTTGAAAGTTTCTCGACTGATTTCTTCATGTTATACGAAGACATTAACAAAGAATGCAACCGGTAGGGTATGATTGTAAATCCGCAAATTAAATTGCAGACGTAACCTATGTTTTTTTCTTGGTAGAATGTCTTTAATTCGTTTTTTGACTTTTTTTACTCTTATTCGGACAAAATATAGTTCGGATAAATTATAGGTAGACCCTAAGACGTTTCACTATTGGGACGGTTCACACCAAGACGCTTCACTCCCAAGTGGGAGTGAAATGTCTTGAAGACGTTTCACTCCTTTTTTATGCCAAAATTATTCTGATACTTGTGATATACTATAATAAAAATAAATTAAAAACTTAAAGGGGATTTCACTTTGTCTCAGTAAGTTTGTATATGATAATTGTTAAAGTTTATTTAGCTTTTTTGCTTGATTGGATAATCTTATACAATTTATTTATATCTTATTATCTGATTAAATATTATTTGATTTTGGTATATATATTAAATCAGAGACATAGATAAATACAACATTTTGGAGAAGTTTTTGTTCCCAATACCTTTTTTATAGGTAAGGTAAGGTAAATTGTTTATTAAAGTGACATGTGTTATTTACAATATAATCATATACAAATATTTTAATAAAGGTATTTAAAACACCCGGCCTCATGGGCCTATTAGTCACTGTTGACATTTAATACAGTATCTATGTATAGTTCTCAAATATTAAACATAATAGTACAAGTTCAATTTCAAATATATGGACGATGTACATAGAATAGTATATTTTCACTTTCATAATTATCAAGTAAATTAATCAATTAGATATATGAGTAATTGATGGCATTAAATATAAGTGATACACATATATAAGTTCTGTGCAAATCGCTAGGAGTATATAAGGCTTCGTCTAAACATAAAAGCTTTCACAATATATTTTGCTGTTTTTCTAGCATTTTCATTTACTAAAAAGTTCAGTCTATCTTCTTTATTTTTATTAATATAGGATGGATCTGACAATAAATCCCCGAACACTTGCTGTCTTATATTATCATATTTTGTGCATTCTACGAGAAAATGAGTTTCATTTTCTATTTGTTCTTGGTCACAGAATGTACATATTCTCTGGTTTACATTTTCACCAATAAAACGTCCTGTTTCTACTCTTAAGGGTAAAATCCCACACCGAAACTGTGCTAACATCGAGCGTTCATTCTTCTCTAAATTTAATACTATGTATTGTTCGGTTTTAAAATTTGTTTTAAATAGTTTATATGTTCGTAGTTTTGGGCTATTTTGTACAGAGGTATACCATTGTTCGTTAAACAGACTTAATATTTTTTCATTTGCTAGTTTTAAATCAACTGGTCTCTTTTCTGTAAAATAGGTACTGAGACCCAACGATATCATTATTTGTTTAATATCGTTAGACCAATTACTTTGGCATATATTATAGTCTGCAGTGAAAACTTTTTTAGGTAGTCTTTGGTCGTCCATGTTCATTAATTTATTCCAATAGCGTAGCATATTTATCCACCTTCTGAATTTGCTTGGTAACCACTCGATATCCCCTGTAATGGCCGCTACAGGTGCGAATCTGTGTAATCCTAAAAAGTATCTTACAGCTCTATTTTGCACACTGTCTAATGTTTGATATTCTTTGTATTCTTTTATATGTGGCTGTTGTCTGAGTCCAATAAACAACTGATTAGTAAACTGTTGATGCTAAAGTGCATTGTTCATACAACTAATTTAATAGTGATGTCAAACTGTTAGTTGATGGTCTCAGTGTTTATACAACTAATTAGGTGACAAGATTACTGTTAACACCACAATTACATAAGTTTGTAATGGCTTCTGTCAGAGACATAGATATGTATGTCTCTGCTTCTGTTAAATAAATTGATAAATAAATAATTTAAAAGAATATTTGATTTTATACACATTTCTTTTGCATTTCATAGTTTTAGACTTGCAAAAAATAATAAATATATGTAATATTTTTTTTGTTATTCTATAATCTTTTTTAATCTATTATAAATAGAATTTTCTCATGTTGTTAAAAAATAAAATTTTAGAAATTTGTTTTTCATTTAAACCACTCATCATTCAACCCATAATTAAATGAGTAATCTTCTAATAATTTATCATATGTCCTCATCGAAACAAATATATTCACTCCTATTAACATGAATTATTCAAAACACTTTTTAAACAGAACAAAATTCTCTTTTCTGAGCAGATGCTATACTGTTTAGATTATATTATTTACACATTCTGTAACATTTCATTTTTTCTTCTTCAAATTCATAAATTCTTATTAAAAATACCCTCAATATCAATAAAAATAAAACATAAAATTTAATTTCCTCAAAATATTAAATGAAAAAAATATTTGTTAACTTTCCTAAATTATTATAAACATTAAAAAAAATGGGAGTGAAATGTCCATACAATTACAAATCGGGAGTGAAATGTCTAGGTGTGAACCGTCTTGGGAGTGAAACATCTCAATAGTGAAATGTCTTGCGAGTGAAACGTCTGGCATTCTAAATTATACATCATTGTCACAAAAATCGTAGATCTCCGCCATCAGATGATAAAATCCTTGCCCACAATACCCTTACCCAGCAATGCCGAATATGATTTATACTTACCTACTGGCATGAAAGTAGAACCTATTCAATAACATATTTCAACACTTCTCGAGTAAGTATCTAATCTCTCACCCAACCTCTTGAATGCTTAGAGGTTTGAAAACTGGTTTGTCCACGATACATCCTTTGATCATTAGTATCCAATGTTCTAGATGCTTGAACTAGACAAAATGTAAGTATTAGACTGAAAAAAAGCTATTTAAATAACTTTCTCAATTGTGCTGTAAAAATGGGGCTTCCAACCTATTTGCCAAAGTTCAGATATACCGTCATAGGAAGCCAGTATAAGGGTTCTAGAATAATACCTACAGTGGACAGATACATGTATATTGTACACTTCAGGTTTTCTGTATTAGGAACAAATCAGGATTTACATGAATTGTGAGTGACTAGCAGAATATTGGTGTGTAGCAATCAATTTCCAGTGTGTCACTAGTATGTTAGTATGTACCAGTATATTAAGTGTAAAAATAAAAGCAATGTTGCCTACATTGACCAGGAACAACTTGAAGGTAAAATAAAGCTCAGTTCCCCTGTTATCCCCTCATAGCATTTTCACAACCTAGCATATTACACAAGCAAGAAATAATAATATTAATTACAATATATTGATAAGATTGGTAAGTATAATCACCATAACATCATACTTTATCACATGTATGATCTCCAGCTCTTTTTTTAAATCCCATGCCTGGCTGAAATTTTAATATTATTTTATTACTTAGACAAATATAAACCCTCAACAAAATTGAACTTACTGAATTTATTGATCCAGTATAGTGATATTTAAAGTTTTCGTGTTTAGTAGAACTCTGTGAAAATAAATAGTCAAAGAAATGACAGGACAGACCCACATCCTTCATAGATTGTTCTTTTTAGTTATTCCTTTGTTCTTTTGTAACCCCATAATTTTTTACAGAATGAATACCACAAACTCTTACCTTACCTTACAATGCCCTCAGTGGTTTTACAAGTAGATGAACTAACAAATGAATAATTAAAATGAATGAATGTAAATATAAAAAAAAATATATGAATAAATAAAGGCACATTATGCCTCAGAAATCCATATTTATTAAATTCTTTAGAAATGTCAAACATGTGTGTTAAATAATGTTTTTATAATAGATTTAGAGCATGTTAGATGTTTAACAACTGAAGAAAGTAGCACTGAACATGCTGTAATGTGTTGTAAAGGTAGCAAAATGTAAACAAAGTAGTATTCCATACAAAATACTAGTTCATTTTAATTGCCAACAAAGCAAAAGGGCCAGCGATAATTCATTTATATGGCAAATAACTTTTTATGCCACCGCAGCATCTGCGATGCGGTGGCATATAGCGATTCACCTGTGTGTGTGTGTGTTTGTGTGTGTGTTTGTGTGTGTGTTATATAGATTATATAGTGAACTTTAAAAATCTTCTTGTGAAAAACCACTAGTCCAATTTCAACCAAACTTGGCAGGATTGTTCCTTGGGTGAAGGGCTTCCAAAGTTGTTCAAAGAATTTCATTCCATGCAGAAATCTGGTTGCCATGGCAACCAAAAGGAATTATAAGAATAAATTTAAAAAATCTTCTTGTAAAGACCCAAAAGGCCTAGAGCTTAGATATTTTACATAAGGCATTGTCTGGTAGACCTCTAACAAGATTGTTCAAATTATAGCCCTTGGGTCAAAATTGGCCCCGCCCCGAGGGTCATTGATTTTCACTATGTACATATAGTGAAAAAACTTAAAATACCTTCTTGTAAAAACCCAAAAGGCCTAGAGCTTAGATATTTTGCATAAGGCATCTTCTGGTAGACCCTTACCAAGATTGTTCAAATTATAGCCCTTGGGTCAAAATCGGCCCCGCCCCGGGTCATTGATTTTCACTATATGTACATATAGTAAAAACTTAAAACACCTTCTTGTAAAGACCCAAAAGGCCTAGAGCTTATATATTTTGTGTGAGGCATTGTCTGGTAGACCTCTACCCAGATTGTTCAAATTATAGCCCTGGGGTCAAAATCGGCCCCGCCCCGGGGGTCATTGGTTTTCCTTATATGTATATAGTAAAAACTTCAAAAAAAATTCTTCTAGCAATTAACAAATGCTAGAGGTTAGATATTTTGCATGAAACATTGTGTAGTAAACCTCTAGCAAGATTGTTCAAATTATAGCCCTGGGGTCAAAATTTTTCCCCTGCCCTTGGGGTCATTGATTTCAATATATACATATAGTAAAAAATAAATAAATCTTATTGTCTGATGGTACAAGGCTTAGAGCTTTAATATTTGTTAAATTATATCATCTGAAGGTACTCTACAAAAGTTATTCAAATTTTGCCTCTTGTGTCAAAATTAGCCCCGCCCCCTGGTGGCCATAGGTTTTCCTTATATGTATATAGTACAAACTTAAAAAATCATCTTCTCTAAATTTACAAAGGCTAGAGTTAAGATATTTTGCATGAAACATTGTGTAGTGAACCTCTGGCAAGATTGTTCAAATTATAGCCCTGGGGTCAAAATTGGTTCCGCCCCGGGGGTCATTGATTTTCATTATGTACATATAGTGAAAAAATAAAAAATATTTTTGTCTGAAGGTACAAGGCATAGAGCTTTGATGTTTGATATATAATATCATTTATAGGTCCTCTACCAAAGTTGTTCAAAATTTTCCCCTGGTGTCAAAATTGGCCCTGCCCGGGGGCAGTGATTCTCATTATGTACACATAGTAAAAACAGAAAATAAAACAAATGTTTTCTGAATGGGAGAAAGCTATAGCTTAGATATTTGACTTGAAATGTTGTTTGGTGGACCTGTATCAAAATTGTTTTGAATTAAACCCTTAGGTCAAAATTATGCCTTGCCCAAGGGGACAGTGACCTACTTTCTTGTCCTTTGATGTACAGCAATGACATTTTGACCATGTACACAGTTTTAGTTGTAAAATTGAACTTTGATATCAGGTGACCTAGATTTTGATGATGTGACCTACTTTCTTGTCCTTTGGTGTACAGCTATGAAATTTGAACCATGCGGTGGCATAGCATTTTTCTCAAATGCAATCTTGTTTTTTAAACTGTAACAAGATACTCAAAATAAAAAGATTTTGAGAAATAAAAATGATAGCATTTCTGAGGCATAATGGGCAGTCTAAAGTTAGGGCCTATAAGTGAAACAATTCTACTTTGTGTCCAGTAATATGTTTAAGCTGATAATGCTTTCTTGTTTTCAGTGTTATCAAAGACTTGTGGTTGTTGTCAACTTCAAAGATACAGTCAGGCAGTAGGTGTGGCTAAGGCTAAAACATGGCAGCTTCACAGTGCTGTGTGCCTACAACGTTACCCAGTGATCACTACACCTCTAAATGAATTTGAACAGAAGTATAAAGATTATCTTACAGAGATTGAGATCAACAACAGCTTGCTATCTGATCATGAATTACAAAACCTGGCAGAAAAGTATGTACAGTTTTTACTATAATAATACATGTAGTTATCTATACAGGGCTTGGATTCGACTATTTGAAGAGTAGGGAGGGCTATTGTACTCACCTAGGCATCTGCATCACACTTTGGTTAAGTTTTTGCATGCAAGTAATGAATGCAATGGGTTGCAACCTCACACACTTATTTAAGAGCATAAAGGTCAGTATACAAGACCCATTAGTCTTACATAGATTTGGAGAGACTTATGGCCCTGGGCCTTTTAAATTTTAACTTCATTCTTGAACTTCATAAACCCAGGCACTTGTTTTACTATCAAGCACTGAGAATAGTCAAACACAATTGTCCACGGCTCTTATTTTTTGTAATTGTACTGCTAATGATTTATGTAATTATAAAAGTACCTCTGTCAGTGTAAGTCATTTCTGATTCTCATTGGATTTTATACAGGAAGAAGAAGATGGAGCCCACAGAAGAGAAGGAAGTAGTGAAGAAAAAGGTGGTAGAGGAGAAACTTCTAACTGCGGAGGAGATGGAGGATGAATGGCAAAAAGAGTTGGACAAATTTGAGTTTGCTGATAGAATAACAGGTGAGCAGTGCCAGTTTGAAATGTCTATAAATTGTTTTGTTGTTTTTTTTTAAGCTGGACAGACAGCATTTAAATAAACGTGTTATTTCTCTTGCATGTTTACAAGTATGTTCGCTGGCTTAATTGAAAAAGAATTGTATTATTGTTGAGCAAGGCCTAATTTCTCTGTGAAAGGTGATCTCTTATATTGTGTCTAATGGTGGTTTGTCTCTCACAGCTGATTCTGAAGTCATGTGGGATTAGAAGTCAGTCACTTGCAAGATAAATTGGTAATTAAGGGTAAGGAATCCAAGAATTCAGGTTGGGTGAATTGTCTGCTGAGGTATGATCACATAGCATGTGTTAAATCTGCATAAAAAACCAGAAAAACAACCCAAACTAAATACATGTATACAAGTACATGTATATTCCTGAAAGATTGTCTCTTAAATCAAACACTTTTATACAAATTACAAATTAACCAAACCTTATTTTACAAACCCACTTAAATAAAAAAAATAACTCTGAACCAGTAGGAACCAGCCACCAATATAGTGCAGATTTACCAACCTTTTATACTGTTAGTAGTTGGCAGCTCAAATTTCAATTAAAATGAACTGTTCCAAATTGAAAGTTGGATGAATCAGTATGCAAATTCAGCAGATTAAAGGTAATAAGTAACATAGATTTTATTTTTTACTTTTATTTTTAGATGCTGACAGAAATAATGACATGACATCTCCAAATAGGAAATTAGATAAAAGATTAGTCCTCATCACTAAGCAACATTGGGGAGACGACACAAAGGCAGAGTGGGCCTTTCCTCAGATCTTGAGACAAGATGGAGAGTCTATGAGAGAGGTATATATACATGTTTTTAACTATATTAAAACTGTTGCTAAAGACATTTAGTGAATCTTTGTTTGTTACAGGGCTGTCATTGATGGACAATTTTGTATTGATGTATCGAGAGACAAATATCGAAGATATATCGACTTCGACAGTAGATACAATGAAAAACATTTTAAAATTTCATTGTGTTATAAATTGGGATCATGGTGTTATGCATGCTTGTATTAGACATTACAAATACTACAAACTAACAGAAAGTTTGTTTTTTCTGTTAATTTTGTCGCTTACATTTAAATCAGAGTTAAAAGTTAGCCAAGAATACTGGAAAAAAGTGACTTCTCTTATTCAAAATAGAGAGGTATATTCACGAACAGAAATAAATAAATTTTAGCTTGTATCAATATTGTATCAAATGATGAATATCAATGATATATCAATATTGTGATATTCAATGACAGCCCTAGTTTGTTTGGACTGTAGATGTCATGTAGTGACTGACTTCCCAGCTTTGCTGGTTTAGGGTCTAAGGAAAACCTTTCAAGTGCTCTTCCATGCATCATTTAAAGCTGCCTTCAGCTTTTATTTTCTGTTGGAAAAACAATTCTGTGTTGTTTCAAACTAAGTATTTCAGTAATTTTACCTTGGTAAAGTGCATCATATTACTGCTAAGTTTTCTTTAAAAATCGCTTCCAGAGAGCTATTTATAACTCATTAGTGACATTCGTTACTAAAAATAGGACAAATCCATTGCACAAGTACAGCAGGTTAAGGGTTCAAAACAAAACCATAAATGAAAATGTTTCTTGTATTACTGCAGGCAGCAGAGAGAGCTTTATCAACACATTGTGGAGGTTCTATAAATGCTAAATTTATTGGAAATGCTCCATGTGGTTACACGAGATACAAGCTGCCAAAAAGTGAAGATGAATATGGAGTGAAGGTATTAATTTCCATTTTTCATACTCTTTGGGCTGCTGCTTTTTGCATAAAAGTAAATCCAAACATTGTTCAGAACCAGTTAAAATATATTTTTATATAACTTAATATTTCTGCCATATACATTCTATTACATGCTATAGTTACTTGTACACGTAACCTAGTGCCTAATCTAGTGCCAAATATGGTCAGACCAATTCAGATCATGGTACCAAACATAACTCATCGAAAAAAGTGACAGGTGTAATATACATCATGCTCAGTTAAATACAGAATTTAATGTTGGAGCTCTAAACAAATCAAAAATGGTAAACCTTTGCTACAAGAGAAAAGAGCCAAGCCCACCTGCATGTCCATGCAGTCTGACCAGGTTATATACTGTTGACTGTCTAATTATAACTTTTTATCTTGATATTTTTAAAATTGATAATGGACAGGCTGGACTAGTCCATTTCAAAAATTGAGCAGATAAAGGGCTAAGAATCATTATATGAAATATTAATGGCAGTCTGACCAGACTCTATACTATTGGCATCTCAAACTTGTCTTAATTTTTTGTACTTTTGTTATTGAAATCCCTTAAATTTTAAAATGGACTGTTCTGAATTCAAAGCAGGGCAAAGTCCATTATACAAATTCAGATGGATGGTTAGAAGTTAAAAAACATTATTGATTTCATTCCTATCTGGTATGCAAAAGTAAAGAATATAAAAATATAGGTGGTATTTCAGATACAGTAACAATTCAAAGGTATTTGTATAAAGTAAAACCTCTTTTATGAGGTTATTGCTTATGAAACAATGATTTCCATACTGTTAACTTTTTGAGAAACTATATGGTTATAGTTATAATCAATATCAAAGTAAATATCAAAGCCAAGGTATATTTTTTATAGAATCAGGTTTTTCTTAGCTTTCTGGCATTTTCTTTTTCTTAACTTACTGTCATTTTCCGTTGCTGTCTCTTTCTCTTTCAGTTGTTCTTTTTCAAAGCAAATTACCAGGGTGGTGATGTGGAATTATGTTCCAATAACAATACAGAATATAAATGGGTCACAATTGATGAATTAAAAGATTATTTCCTACCGGACTACCGAGAAGATATCGAAGAATTTCTAATAGATTTGTAGATAAAAATGTCAAAATATTTGTCATTAAAACAATAAAATTTAATTACAGTCTTTGTAAGTTGTTATTTACTTACTGTTTTATGTATAGCGAATACTGTTAATAATTGCTTGTAAAATTATTTGATTTTAACCTATAACCTGCTAGAACATAAAGTGATAAGCCTTTCCCACCAGTATAGAGCCAGGCTAGACAGCACACCCTTGCAGTCTGACCAGGCTCTATACTAGTGGCTAGCTAATTGTAAAATTCCATATTGATACACTTAAAAATGGACAGATTCAAAAATGAGCAGGATAAGTCTACGGAATTCATCTGATGAAGGCGATGAAACAATCATGTAAGTAACACATAAACCTTTTGCCATGCTGAATTTGGGGTATTCAAGTTGAGCTACAGTCTACCATAGATTTATAAGATCTCTATATCTGATTGTGAAATGAGTAACAGTACCAGCTTGATTCACAGCTCCTGGTATTAAAGAAGACTGGCAAATGCCACAGCCCTTTTTGTGATCTACTTGAGAAGCTGTTAGTTGTCTTTCAAATTAAGCCCACACTGTACGGCTCATATGACCACTTTCCAGCGTTACCGGAAGAGGAAAACCTGTGAAATTATTGCAAGTACGAGCACACAACTGAATAGAACCACTAACCTGTTCCCCACCTGGGAAGCTTTCTTGTATAAAATAGTCACTGGCGAGATTCAAATTCACAGCAGTAAGGGGGCAAGTGATTGGAAGTTGGCAACCATTACCATTTGGTCATACAAATGTACATTTACAATCTTTTAAACTGATAAAAAATCCAGACATGTAACATTTCATCTTTTGATCTTTTATTTTATTACTCATATCTCAATCTAACACATGATACATGTTTTTAAAATATTTTCAACAAAATTTCTTTTCCCCACTTGCGTAACATTTCTGATACAAAACTCGAGCAACGTCACCATTCTTATCTCATCATTTTCTCATGTAAAAATCAACATTTTGATGTCAAAAAAATGTGCATAAACATCTTAGTTTTTATTTAAAAAAACAACAACATATTTTATGAACCAGCACTGTCCTGATGGAATCTGGAACTTTTCATTGTGACTTTCAAAGTTTATTGCTAGAAACAAGCCAATGGTTAAATCAACATTCAAACAACTTTTTAGTGCAAGATTATTTTTAAAATCAGAATCTGCAGATCTCTTGTCATTAACCATTTACTTATAAGAAATATCCTTAATATTTGATACAAATTGTTCATACGAGTTTAATATAGAATTCAATCCATATCAGGTACGATGATAGGGTATAAAGGATTGTGATCAACTGTTTGATGTAACATAAGACCAAGTACGCCCATTCTGTTAGAAAGTGCGTGTCGGACATTTCTCTCCTGCTCGAATAAGTCATCTATTTTCATCCACTGAAATAAACACAACAAATGATTTTCAACATAATAATAAAGTAATAATTATTGGCGTTATAAAGCTGCTCTCATTATTAAGCTTGTACAGCAATAACTCATAAAGTACAAAATTTAAGAAATAGTATTGTTCTTTGGTATGATACTTGACAGGGACACAATACTTGAAATTATCTACATCATTTCAATAGATGTTATCCAGCACTTAGCAAATGTGTTTTTCCTCAATCTTATTCAGAGCTACAAACAAATTTTACTGCTTTAACTTCATGGTGCCCAATCATTCTCAATAGGATGACCGAGGTGTTGTGCTCGATATATTTACCATGTTGTCACAGTAAAATTTGTATGTACCTCTGTATTTGCTAAGAAAAAACGTAAGTTAATTACAGACTAGCCAATAAAAATAACTACCATCCTCACTCTTTATATGTCTGTTGAAGCTGTCCAGCAATTTTTTAAATTATAATGTTAATTACAGTTGCATTTAACAGTTGGGCAAATTTCAAGCTATCAGAAAAATTCCCTTCTCAAATCAACAAAACTTACCTGTCTTACTCTTTCCATATCTATTTGAGCCCTTCTACATTTTTCCCAGCCATAATGTTTGTTGCATTTTCGTTTAGCAGTCAGGCAAATTTCACCTTTCTCTTCGAACACGTCAGATACTATTGGACATCCACAAACTTCATCTGCTGCTACCTGATGAAACAAAACCGAATCTTGTGAGCAAAGTATGGTATATATGTATATAAAAGTAACTTTTTTTTATTTCAATATAAGCATTTAAAATACTTTCTTCTTAATCCTTCTTTTAAACAAGATGTATGTCATATCAGTAATACATAAGCAATGAAAAATCTTAAAACAGAATCTTATTATGAGGAAAAGAAACGAACAAGTATACCATTCAAAGCTACTTAAACATACATTAAATATATAGCACCATTGCAATAGATGTTATCCGGAACTCCGCAAATATGGCATTTTCCCAGCTAATCTGTAGGTACAAACTTTTTACAGTGCACTACCTATCACTATAGATTAGTCAACCTGTTGCCCTTATTTTTGAAGCTGTATCTGTAAAAGTTTGTTTGTACCTACAACTAGCTGGGAAAATCCCAAATATTCTTTATTCCAGAGTTAGTCTGTTGTTTAAAACTACATGTATAGTAGTTTTACCAACTATATTGAAAGCTTGTATTTTTGTGACCAAGAAACATAATAATTATCATGTGAAACTTTTGCATCACAAATTTAACATGTCTACAGTATATATAGAGAACAGCATACCCTGGGTTCTTTCATATGCTCAGGACATATTACTTTGAGTCGTTTACAGTATGTTTTACTCTGACTGTTGTAAAAATCACAAAACATTGAGTTGCCCTCTATACGAGTCTTGTAAATGGATCCAAATGAGGTCTGTGCTTCAAACTGCAAATAAATATCATTTTACAATATAAGAATAAGAAGTGCTAGCAACTTATATAGTTGCCAAGTTTACATTGTCATTCCAGCCTGCAGATGGCAACTGAATCTACCCATGTGACCAGTGCAGACCAACATCTGCCAGCATATCTGTGCTGTCTGATCACAGACTGTATCATACTCTATTACAGTCAGTACTTACACAGAAAATTTCCCTAAAATTGATTAATGGTTTTGTCCAAATTGAAAGATGGACAAGTCCATTTAAGATACATATTATTTAGCAGGTTGTCAAGTCACATTCAACTATATTTTGAAATGGACTTGCCCTGCTATGAATTTGGAACAGTCAATTACAAGTTTTAAGGGTATCAGCATCAAAGCACTGAAAGCTAAGTAACACACAAGATAAAACCTCATCAGACTGGACAATGTGTGTACAGGCTGACCTGGCTCTATACTGGTAGCAATGACTGTCAACTTGTGAAACTATCATTTTAAGGCAGAAATCCTCAAATTTATCATAGCGTATTCTTTTGAGGAAATATAATATATTTTGCTACTTCATAATCATTATAAGAAACTTGGTATCATAATGAACAACCCTTTATATCAATGTTACCGTATCACTTAATAACTGATAAACACACTTTTATATTAATGTTTCTATATCATTTAAAGTTAAATTTTCTTGTCAATATGCTTTCAATTTTCATTCACGTTTAATATCAAACATTAACTCTACTGGACAACAAATTATTGTAGTATGGATGTAATCATAAGTGAATCTTTGGATTCTTTAATAGTCCAATAAAGATATTTAATACTTAGATTATTTAACATACCTTAGCAAAACATCTCTCCATATGTTTCAGTGCAGTTTTCTGACTGATTTCTAGTCCACATGTTACACAGAACAAATTGTATTCTGTCTCATCCTCAGACTCTGAAGGCTGCAACATAAATTGATTTTGAAAACTGAAATCTTAATCTTTATAGTTTTTTTCTTCTACAGTCAAACCTGCAAATAAAGCCACCCAAATGAGAGACTAATATGACCGTTATAGACAACTAGTCTTTATTTGGAGGTTTATCTGTTCTTTAAATCAATACAGGTTTGTTAAGAAAATGGTCTTTATTAAAAGAGTGGTCTTTATTTGGAGGTGGGATTTTAAACAGGTTTGACTGTATTTTTGTAATATTTCACAAATGAAAGTCTATGGTAGAATAGATTTATCTAATTAATACTTACAAAAAAATAAAGTTCTAAAGAATACCTAAAAAAACTTATCTAAAAAGTACTAATTAAAATGCAAACTTGAACAGAATTACTCAAAGAATTAAGACTATAGATTTCATAACACTTAAAAGAAAATTACATCATTAATGATTATCTTAGTACCATTTAAATTCTCTATCATACATATTTACTTGATAATAATTTAAAAGAAAAGTTTTTTGTCATTGTGAATTGAAGGTATATCCCATTTAGAGGTTGAAATTGGAAAAAAAAATTGCTGATTTACTAAATTTGCCAACACAATCAAGAACCGTTTCTCATCAAACAATAGATTTTTTCTAAGATATTTAGTTGTTTAATGATGATTTGATTATTAGACTTATGCTAATTTTTGTTTGTCATTTTCAAAATTTAAGCAATTTTAAACACATTTTTGGTCATATCTGGGCTGAAGATCCATTTTATCAGCTTTTACTTGAAACTAACAAGTAATTACCTATTTTTCCACAGTAGAAACCTATTCTTCTAAGTTGTCATATCAAGTTGTCTGCCTTTCTAACAAGAACTCATGGGTCCATGACCATCACCAAATAATTTCATTATGACACCAGTACTTTATATTTCCAGGAATACAAGGGTCATGAATAACAGGCAAGCTTTCGGGTTGCAATAAATTTTTCATTGTCTTACCTTTAGACTAAAATCAGCAATATTTAGCTTTAACTATCAGATGTTTGTAATACACTTTAATGAACCACTCATAAGACACGGTGTATAAATAACATTCTAAACTGATATTACAAAAATGTGTCTTATATCCAAGTAAATAAGGCAAATAGGAGTAATAACCTGTTCCTTTTCATCTTCACATTTGGCATGTTTAGCTCTCTCAACAAGTGCATCAAGTTCCTGGTGTTTTAAATCCAGATCTACAAGTTTCTGTCTGGCTTCCATCTGTTCTTGACGGACCTTCTCTAATGTACGGCGATTTTTCTCCTCCGCCACACATGGGCTACTTTGCCATTGCTGGATTTTTGGTGGCAACAGTTCATATATTCGGCTGGAAATAAAAATTTCAATAAATGATAAATAAAATTGTCAAATTACAAAGATTTAGTGTCTTCTTATTGCCCACATTAATGTTATGAATAAATGGTTATATCCTATTTTTCTTTATATTTTTTATACCATAGGTGAAGTTTGTAGTTATACAATGTACTTCATAATTTATACATGTATACTGTCAGTACAAGCCTTCAGGAATGTAAGTGGTTTTTGGCCCATCATTCAATTACACAGGATAAATCAATAAATTTAATCAAATCTGCATGTAAATTGTGTTATAATAAAAAACTTATTATGATGGATGGCCATCTTTGTTTTCACATTTGACCTTTTCTATTTATTATTGAGATTTTACTATACATTCACAAGGGGCAAACCTCTTTGCCAGTTTCATCCCACATTCCTCTGAGCAGTATTTAGATTGAAATCTTGCTGGGTTGACACAGCCGGGACCCAGACATTGTTTCTGAACTTCCTCTTCTGGTTCCTCAACTTCCTCGTACTCCTGGTAATGCCTGTGATGATGTTCTCTTTTATGTTCTCTCCCCTTCTGTTAAATATATCAATACTAGGGATGTAAAATATATCAATACTAGAGGTGTAAAATATATCAATACTAGGGGTGTAAAATATATCAATACTAGGGGTGTAAAATATAACAATACTAGAGGTGTAAAATATATATCAATTCTAGGGGTGTTAAATATATCAATACTAGGGGTGTTAAATACAAATGTATATCAATACTAAGGGTGTAAAATATATCAATACTAGGGGTGTAAAATATATCAATACTAGGGGTGTAAAATATATCAATACTAGGGGTGTTCAATATATCAATACTAGGGGTGTTAAATATATTAATACTAGAGGTGTAAAATATATCAATACTAGGGGTGTAAAATATATATCAATTCTAGGGGTGTTAAATATATCAATACTAGGGGTGTTAAATACAAATGTATATCAATACTAAGGGTGTAAAATATATCAATACTAGGGGTGTAAAATATATCAATACTAGGGGTGTAAAATATATCAATACTAGGGGTGTTCAATATATCAATACTAGGGGTGTTAAATATATTAATACTAGAGGTGTAAAATATATCAATACTAGGGGTGTAAAATATATCAATACTAGAGGTGTAAAATATATCAATACTAGGGGTGTAAAATATATCAATACTAGGGGTGTAAAATATATATCAATACTAGAGGTGTAAAATATATCAATACTAGGGGTGTTAAATATATCAATACTAGGGGTGTAAAATATATATCAATACAAGGGGTGTAAAATATATCAATACTAGGGGTGTTAAATATATCAATACTAGAGGTGCAAAATATATCAATACTAGAGGTGTCACGTTCATTCGATTAAACAGGTACTGTTATGTTGTCAGTGTTGTATAGATATATCAGACCCAAAACGGGATGGTTATATATAGCATTTTTCATTCATAAAAGATATGCTCACATTCAGACTCATTAATAACTGAAATATAAACATACTTGCAGAATCTAGCCAGAGGCGTGCTTATCAGTACACAGAGGCGGGTTTATAAATACTATGCTCTGCTTGGCCACTACAGGTACGGTCAGATATATATATTGTAATCAATTTGACTTCAAAAAAATACTACCAAAATGTCATATCTTGTCATTAAGAAACAAAGTTAATGTTGTAAATGAGAATTTTATTAGAATAGTCAGTTAAACGTTTAACAAGGTTTTTAGGTCGCCATTTAAACGGTTATCATTTTGCTGAACCAAGACACCCCTAATCACTACTCAGATATATTGTAAGTCAATCATTGCTTACCAATCAATTTGTAAAAATAAGGAGTATCTCTATATAATTGCGAATGGTATGTCATTCTCACACTTATTTAATTGCCATTGTTTTGTGATTGTTTTACATGTAAAAAAAAAGCATTTCAAAATCACAATAAATTAAAGAAAAATAAAACATTCCATTCCTGGCCCTGTTCATCAGATTTTTCTTATGAGACACAAGCAATGTTTAGGCCCTATGGCAGCTTTTTAGCTTCACTTGTAGAGCAAGACTCTGATAAACATTTTACTAACTTTTTACAATCAAAAACACTTTCTAAATTGTTGAAGTGGTCTTTAGTTTTTCTAAAGGGTTACCGGATAATATGTTATCTTTAGATAAAATGTTAGATATAATTGTCAAATCTAAAGCATTAAGGTGAAAAATGAAATTTGCCATCGATAAATTACAGAAACAATAAAAAAAACACCTTGATACCTCTTATTCAGCGTAACCCTATCTATATGTAAATAAGTAAAGCAGACCATTTGTTTCCAAATCTATCTATATTTATTTTTAGAGATCAACCTCACTGCATGTTATAAGTAGCTCTTTGGATGCTGTTTTGAAGAAGACTTAATGGTGATATGATGCACTTTTCCGAAGTTTGAAACAACACAGTATTGTTTTCCAACAAAAAATAAAAGCTGAAGGCCCTTTTCAATAAAAATGTCCTGGAATTGGTGTTGTCCTGCTTTAAAGAAAGGTCCATATTATTTTCTTTTGAAGTTTCACTGCACTGCATTTGAGAAGACTGATTTAAATTATAATGAATTAGAAAAGCTACATGTGATATGATAATTACCTGTTTTTTCTTTGTTGGAGATTTCTTATCTTTATACTTCTTCCTCGGTGTATCTTCTTTTCCTGATAATCTCTTCTTTCGTTTCTAAACAGAAATAAAAAAAACAACATTAATTAAAAGAGAAATATTTGAAACATGATGGAATAAAAATTGTTAATTTGTCACGTGATTTTAATCTTAAGGCCAGTCATAATAATTTATTACCCCTCACTTTTATTGTAATGTTAATTTCCAATAGGCCACTTGGAGTTATTCTTATTGTTAAAAAGCAAGTGTACCACAAGACTAGGAAACTTAAACTGTTACATAGGTAACAGTACTTTTTAACAGTTTAAAATCTGGTCATGTAGTTTTTTCCCCCTTAAAAAAATAAAATGGCTGCCATTTTGTTTTCTCAATTCAGGCACTTTTTTCCATAGTTCTTCACGAAGGGGGATTTGTTGAGCATCACCAGAGTGACTATGACACCCAACAAATTTAATTAATGCCTCAAGTAACAGTATTTTCCTCAGAATGTTATTTTTACTGTTACCCACAAGCCTGTATGTGTTATTTATATAATAAACTTTGCTTACCTTTTCAGATTTGTCTTGCTTCTCTTGGTCTCTCCTGCAAACAGAATATACAAATTACTTCATATAATAAACACAAGTTATGCCCATGGGCAGAATGTCGAGCTCCCTCGTCTTAATTCAAACCTGAACCTATAACCTTCAGATCAAAGAGAAAGATGTATACATAGGTGAGAACGATTCATATACACATTATCATTTATAAATTGTAAATTACTTAGTCTATTTACACTCAGTCTCATTTTATGGCTCCCAAGTTATCTGCCCATCTCCCCATTTTCCAAATTAAACTTGACAAAGAGGGGCAAATTACAGATTAAAGAGGAATTCTTCAAGGATTTAACTAGATACAGGATTGAAGCAGTACCTCATGAAATCATAATCACAAAATAGACAATTTTTGTTTGTTTGTTGATTGTTACATTTTTCATTCTTTATGATACATAAATCAGTGTGAAAAGATGAATTGGACCTTTTGAAGTTCATTCCGTTGGATGAAAAGGCAAGATTTTATCATTTTATCATTCAAGCACATTGTCCGGTATATACCAGAGTACGGTATATAGTGTGGGTGTCCAATCCTTGTTTGAAAATACATTTGTATCTCCAAAACAGCTCTTTTACCTTTTAAAAACTGAAACTGTTCAGTTCAGTATATCAAGTTGGCATCAAACTTATTAATGATCAAAATCAGATGAAATATATTTCATACAATATTGATACAATGATACTAAGGATAATAATAGTAACAAGGGCTTAGTCTAAATTTAGTAACAAGGGCTTAGTCTAAATTTAGATGTAAGTTCTATGGGGGTTGGAGGACATAATCCCCCCAGAATGTTTTTGCTCTGGACTGGCAGAAGTGTGTAATGGTGTATATTTAGTACAACTAATGAATCCAGGGGATAATTACATTTTGAAGGCAGACAAAAATGCTTTCACTTTCTAAGAAAAAAATATTGACCAGGGCTTCCATTAAGTTTCAAAATTTGAAAGTCAGAGACTACAAAATGTCTGACATTGGATGTCACATTATATAGGTAAAGAAGAAAAAGGAATTAGAATTTGAAAGTCACAAGCCAAAATCAGGAGTAAATGACTCCAAAAATTCCATTAATGGAAAGCACTGATTGACTGCTGCTTCTTGGCCTAAAGGAAGCTATGCCACAGTTAAAGCTGTTACATATTAACATCTTGTCATCATATACTTAATAAACTAACATATAAAACTAGAACTATCACTAAATGTGATTAATACCCCCGCAAGATTGCTTCGGAAATGAGGAAGTTACAAGTAACAGAATACCTTGTTAAAGAATTGAAATAGAGTTATGGTTGTGGGCAATTAAAGATAGTTGTGGTTTTTGTATGTTGCATTTCCTTACAATATGGTTGACCATTGATGGAGTTTTATTGAATTACTCTGTAATAAATCCAGAACGAGTTACGCTTCTTGAGCACTGCATTTCCTCTCATTGCGCTTCTAAACATTAGTTTTAAGTTATACACCGGACAAGGAAAAGGAACAAAGGGCAATAACTCTACAAATACTGAAGATGGAGTTATGGTTATTGTACACTGCACTTCCTCTCATTTCGCTTGACCATTGTATGAAGTTGTATTGAATTCCAACTACTAGTTTTCAAGTTATGCACTGGACAAAAAAGTAACAAAGGGCAATAACTGTAATGAGTCAAAATAGAGTTATGCTTCTTCTGCACTGCACTTCATCTCACTGCCCTTGACCATTGTATGAAGTTTCATTGAATTCCAAACATTAATTTTCAAGTTATGCACTGGACATTAAAAAGTAACAAAGGGCAAAAACTCTTAAATGAGTCAAGAAAGAGTTATGGTTTCTGTGCACTGCGCTTCCTCTCATATACTTGACCAGTGTATGAAATTGTATTGAATTCAAAATAGTACTTTTCAAGTTATGCTCTGGACAAGAAAAAAGCACTGGAAAAGTTACAAAGGGCAGTAACTCAATAATTACTCTAGACAGAGTTATGGTTCTTGTGCACTGCACTCCCTCTTAATGTGCTTGATGATCGTATGAAGTTGTATTGAATTCCAACTAGTAGTTTTCAAGTTATGCTCCGGACAAGGAAATGTAACAAAGGGCAATAACTCTGTAATTAGTCAAGATGGAGTTATGGTTCTTGTGCATTGCACTTCCTCTCAATGTGCTTGATCATTGTATTAAGTTGTATTGAATTCCAACCATTAGTCTTCCAGTTATGCTCCGGACAAATATAAGCAATGGAAAAGTAACAATGGGCAATAATTCTGTAATTACTTTAGATAGAGTTATGGTTCTTGTGTTCTGCACTTCCTCTTATTGTGCTTGACCATTGTATGAAGTTGTTTTGAATTCCAAGCAGTAGTTTTCAAGTTCTGCCCTGGACAATGAAAAGTAACAAAGGGCAATAACTCTATAATGAGTCATGATGGAGTTATGGTTCTTGTGCACTGCACTTCCTCTCAATGTGTTTGACCATTGTATGAAGTTATATTGAATTCCAACCATTAGTCTTCAAGTTATGGTCCGGACAAAAGAAAGCAATGGAAAAGTAACAAAGGGCAAGAACTCTGAAATTACTTTAGATAGAGTTATGATTCTTGTACACTGCACTTCCCTTTATTGTGCTTGACCATTGTATGAAGTTGTACTGAATTCTAACCAGTAGTTTTCAAGTTATGCTCCGGACAAGGAAAAGTAACAAAGGGCAATAACTCTGTAATTAGTGAAGATTGTTATGGTTCTTGTGCACTGCACTTCCTCTCAATGTGCTTGACCATTGTATGAAGTTGTATTGAATTCCAATCATTAGTCTTCAAGTTATGCTCCGGACAAGGAAAATGCAACGGACGTCTGGTCCGACCGACCGACCACCGGGTGACTCCTATATACCCCCCCAAACTTTGTTTTTGGGGGTATAATATATCAACATCATTGAATTTTTCTCGACTTACTTCAGATAGTTGATGACACCACCAGGACTAGATAATATATCCTTCAACTGAGGCGATGACATGGAATCATCTAGATCTTTCACTGTTAATATACCTAAACCCTAAAAAAAATCAGGAATAAATAATTATGCAGGCAGGAGTAATAATATTCCTATGCTTCCATTATACAGACTGGTTGACAGGTATGCCTGCACATGCATATCGTCTTACAAGACTCATTATCTGCTAAATGTTCTTTTCTAAGAATTTTGTTCAAAACATCCATTGTATATCATGTGTCTAGGCTTAACATTTGAAAGAAAAGCACAATGCTGACAGGAGCTTAATTTATTTGGTTATGTTTAAAGTTGCACAAACACTGTAAAAGTCATATGGTGACTCTGGGAATAACCCATCACTTGTCATGGGCAAGCTCTAAGCAAAAAAAAGCTACCTTTCTTAAACCTAAAGATAGCTTCTTTATATGAAAGAACTCATACAACCTGCTGGGATTCAAACCCACAGCCTTAGGAGGCAATGGTTAAAAAAAGCATAAACATAAACTTGCCTATAGAGGTTTTGATAGATTTTAAGTGCCTCTTAATCATAAAAGACAGATAAAAAGTAAGAATTATTTGTGGAATTTATGTCACACACAATACAGTTGTAATGTAAATGTAGCCACCTTTTTCCTGTGGTGGAAGCACCCTATAGCACCCTATACAACCTGTGCTTTCCAGATCTCAAAAATTTATCACTTTTGACTAAAGATATACTAGTAATAAGGGACAGTTACAAGATTGTCTAAAACATTTTTCTTTACTACACTAATTTATCACACACCCGTGCCGATTTTGCGACTCCGTAAATATGGTATTGCACGGCCGTGCATATATTTTGACGTGACGTCATTAGCGTTATACAAACATAGTGTAATGACGCGCTAAATGTTAGCGTTATACTATAGGCGCGTCAATGAAAAATGCCTCTTATTTCTCTTTAAACGGTCTTTATTTTGGGTATGTGATAAATAGAATATTAAATTCGTGTAAGTTCATTACTGAATTTATTGCACTCGTTGAATAAAATAATATTATGCTCGCCAGAGGCTCGCATAATATAATTTTATTCAACTCGTGCAATAAATTCAGTATTGAACTTACACTCATTCAATATCCTCTATATATTGATCAGGCCACAATATTAGAAATTACTTACTATAGACACATTCATGATCAAAACTTAGCTCTTGTATTATAACTTTCTATCATAAAAAAAAACTTACAAAATTACTACATTGTCTGAGTCTGCATTTCTGTCGGATTCTATTTGGTCCGCCAAACTTTTTCATGTCCTGTATTGAAACAAAAAGATTTATTTTAACCTCTTTATAATTCTTAAAAATTATCAAACAATCGTTTTATTATTATAAAGTTTGATCAAATTAGTTAATTATCATACAATCATAGGGGATAAACAATTTTGCTCAGGTGATTACTAGCTTATATACATGTACATTGTATATATAATCCTACCTTACAAAAGTCACATCTCCCACAGTCCTCTGTTCTATGACACGCCGTGCACTGTCCACATCTTCTACTGGACTTCTTCTTATCTTCTCCCTTAATATTTATAAAAACATATCAAAATACCAGAGGTTTTTTTTACTTCTATATTTACCTGCTTCTTCCCACAGGGAGACAAGTTTTCTCCTAAAAGTTTTCTTGCCCCTTTAGCCAAAAAAAACTGTTTAATAAGTAGAAAGAAATAGCTCCTTCCTCTTTCTTAAAATAAGTCTGCATGACATTCAACTATTTTCAATACATTTTGTTACAAGAAGGATAAAATCATTTTTTGATTCAGAACCCAGACAGATAAGGGTAAAAAACTGAATTCAGTAAAAAATCTAAACCACCCAGCCTTGAAGGTTCTATACCGATATTGCATTACAATACTGATAAACTGAACTCTTATGACATGAAACACTTTGATTAAAACATTTTTCATATTTTTATAAAAACAATTCTATAAAGTTCAGAGAATTTATAATACATACTTGTACACTTTTACTCATATGTAATGTATTAAATACTTCACATCTAACAGCCGTTTCACAGTTCATAGGCACACAATTTGGAAAATTAGTTGACAATTTAAGAACATCTGACAAAGATCTCTATGGTTTATTATTTACTTATACTACATTACACAGTATCATCCTCTATGGTTTATTTTACTTACATTACATGTGCACAATATCGTAAAAGATATCTTGCCAGTCTTAGTACTTACAATTTCTGGTTCCCGAAGTTTGCCCTTATACTCTAGGGCAGCCCTGTCAAGTTTCTCCGGTTTAAGTGATATCTTTTTCTCTGCCTTTTCTTTAAGTTTCTTGTGTTTGTATCGAGTAACCAAAGAAGGATCCTTCTCTGAAATAACACAAACAAATGATCACAAAATAGAAAAAAAATGCAATTCAGAAAAAAGTACATTTACATTTTTAGTACAGATACATGTATGTACATACATTTTAATTAAAGAATAAAATAGAATTAAGGCATTCGTCAGCTTATCAATTCTGTAAATCTTTCCTTTGTTTTTTATTCTTCTGACCAAAGTTTAGAGATACATGTGTTACTTTATACTTGGACTTTATGACAGCATGGACCATTCTTTGTGTAATAAATTGAGCATCTTTACAGTTTTGTCAATGTTGTTTTCCTAAATTCTTAATACATACAATGTATATATACATGTATAAATTCCATGTAATAGCAGACTACACAGCTTAGTCTTTGTTTTATAAGAAAAACTGGGTTCACGCGTAAATGAACCAAGTGCATTCTAGAGATTTATTGTACTTACGACGACATGGACCGCAGTAATATTGTTTGATAAACTGAGCATCTTTCTCTGTCACACCTATACAGTCACCGTGATACCATTCTTCACAATTGTCACATGCTCTGAAATACATCAATTACATGTATACATACATATATATTGCTGAAACAATCTCATTAAAATCAGATCATCGTTTTTAGTCCATTTCTCTTCGCTAGCGATAGGTGGTTGAGGGACAGTTAAGGTATGGTTTTAATGAGATCGTTGAAAATAATGTAAACAAAAAATGAAACAGAATCATACAGTTGTTGTTGTTTTTTTTCTTATTACTGAGATGTTGGCAAATAAAAGAATTTGACACTGTGGTGATGATGATATTGAAGGTTTGTTCAGAAAGTTAATTGTTCAATATTGCACAGTTTTTGTGCATTGTATGATAACATAAATTACACACAGGATGCGAACCGAAACAGGTTGGACATTGATGTCAACAGCATAAAGCCTTGTTTTGAATAAAACCTTCACAAACATTTGAAGTTCAATATTATAAATGGACACTTACATCATAAAGCGTGTGCCATCTGTGGATCGACATATACAATATCTAGTATCAGGATTATCTGTGTTCTCTATTGTTTTAACAAGTTGGTCAACTTTAGCTTTCCTCTCTGGTAGAGCAAACTGTTGATTGATCTGCTTTTTCTAAAAATAGAAATAAATGTACATGTATCAGCTATATTTCTGAATGCAGAAATAAAGAACATGTATGTTAACTGCTTTTTCTAAGATTAGATATAAATATTAATAAATGAATAAAATTACATGCATTAGCTACTTTATCTAAATAAATAAATAAAAAAAGTAGATGTTCAAATGTAGGTAACTGCTTTTTCCTTAAAGCTTGAACAGATTGGAAAATTTAGTAAGTCTATAGATAAGATATGGTGTGCCAATAAAGAAATACATACAATGTATCATGATGTCATAATATTCAATGATTTAATCAATTCTTTTTAATCACGTCAGTGAATCACATTCACTATGGACAGAGTTCACTCATATGTTTAGCTCTGAGTGACACACATGTATTAGAGATCAAGTTTTATATTTATTTATTTTTTATACTGCTCCCTATATGAAATATTCATAAATAAGCATGGGCTGAACAAACAAATTCCATACACTAAAGAAAATTGTTCTAAAACCATCCAAAGAAAAAGTAGTTCTAATTTAACCAGACCTTGCACTCTTCAAATATGCTATCATTTGTAGTTTTGACAAAGCTTTTAACATTATTGTCTTGTTACCAAGGAGATACACATTGGCTTAATAGTTAAGCCATTTGGCAATAAGTACAGATATAGTGATCTAGTATTTTGTATGGAAGTCAATATACCATTTTTTGTCTATATATATTATACATGAGGAAATAACCCTAAAGCCGTGTTTCAATAAGCTTATAGCTTCCAACACAATAAAAATAAAATAAATTGGTAAAAACTAAAAAAAATATATTTATTTCAGTTAACATACCTTCTGCTGCTTGAAAAACTCTTCAAAAGATCCTTGAAACTGAAATCAGATTTAAATTATTTGATTCTTTTTTATTAAACTTTACTTGACTGTACTAGTTTACAATTGACTTTATACAACTTTTTATTGATTTGTATAATTGGTAGGCTGAAACTTATGGAAATATAATTTATTCAGTTTGACGACACCTTCTTGGTAAGAATACTAAATAGGCATCACAAGTTAGAGGCATACCCCTAGTATCAGTAATTGTGACAAAGTGGCCCAATAATAATACATTGTACATTGTATGAATGATGTTATTTGTGATATACAACAGCATACTGAGTGACATTGCTAAACAAGGGTGCCATAGTCACAAAATACGCCCGTTTATGAAAGCTTTAGATGGAGATGGGGGCATTATGGGGGGGCATTATGGATAAGTGTTATCTAGCAAGCAAGTTTTTATCCTTGGCACTGTGTTGTTAAATGAACCTTAAAACAAATCAGTAGGGAAGATATGCACAGGATTTGTGACCTTGACCTTGGTCGCAGGGACCTGAATTTTATGCACGGCACTCAGCCTCACAATGATGAACATTTGTGCCAAATTATATTGAAATCCCTCTATGCATGTAGAAGTTTTGCTCCAGACGAGTGTTTTGCTATGAGCTCTAACTGTGACCTTCACCTTTGACCTAGAGACTTGGTTCATGTGCAAGGCACTACGTCTCATGGTGGTGAACAATTCTATAAAGTAACATTAAAATTCCTCCATGCATGTAGAAAATATGCTCCGGACAACATCTGGATATTTAATCATCTCCAGTGACCTTGACCTTGCAAATATTAACCTAAATTAAATGTGTCACACCTGTAGTCATGATAGTTACCATTTGTGCTACAATCCATTAATAAATGATGACTTAATGGTCCCTATACACATCTTCAAATTTTTATTTGAACTTTGACTTCTATGTGTAACCTTGACTTTGGTCGCAGGGATCTGAAATTTTGCATGCGACACTCAGCCTCACAATGGTGAACATTTGTGTCAAGTTATATTGAAATCCCCCAATGAATGTAGAAGTTTTGCTCCGGACAAGTGTTTTTCAATGAGCTCTAAGTGTGACCTTGACCTTTGACCTGGAGACCTGGATCATGCATGGAGCAATACACATCATGGTGGTGAACATTTCCATAAAGTATTATAAAAATTCTTCCATACATGTAGGAGATATGCTCCAGACAAAATCTGGATATTTCACCATCTTTAGTGACCTTGACCTTGCATATATTGACCTAAAGTACATATGTCATAGCCGTAGTCATGATAATGAGCATTTGTGTTACAATCCCTCAATAAATGATGATTAAATCGTCCCTATACACATCTTCATATTTTTATCTAAACTTTGACCTCTATGTGTGGCCTTGACCTTGGCTGCAGGGACCTGAATTTTATGCGCGACACTCCGTCTCACAATGGTGAACATTTGTGCCAAGTTATATTGAAATCCCTCTATGCATGTGGAAGTTTTGCTCCAGACAAGCGTTTTATAATGAGCTCTAAGTGTGACCTTGACCTTTGACCTAGAGACCTAGTTCATGTGCGTGACATGGCTTCTCATAATGGTGAACATTTCTATGAAATTTCATTAAAATCCCTCCATGCGTGTAGGAGATATGCTCCAGACAAAATCTCGATATTTCAACATCTTTAGTGACCTTGACCTTGTATATATTGACATTAATTATATGTATCACAGCCATAGTCTTGATAATGACCATTTGTGTTACAATCCCTCAATAAATGATGACTAAATGGTCCATATACACATCTTCATATTTTTATCTGAACTTTGACCTCTATGTGTGACCCTGACCTTGGCCGCAAGGACCTGAATCTTGCGCGCGACACTCCGCCTCACAATGGTGAACATTTGTGCCAAGTAATATTGAAATCCCTCTATACATGTGGAAGTTTTGCTCCGGACAAGCATTTTTCAAAGAGCTCTTAGTGTGACCTTGACCTTTGACCTAGAGACCTGGTTCATGTGCATGACACTGCTCCTCATAGTGGTGAACATTTCTATGAAGTTTCATTAAAATCCCTCCATACATGTAGGAGATATGCTCCGGACAAAATTGGACGCCGCCCGCGGGGGGCGTTCCCATAATACGTCCCATTTTTCAAACGGGCGTATAAAAACCTAAATGTATAGCATACACCACTAGAAAAATCGTTCAGCATGATTTAACAGTTAAATCAGTCTATCAATGCTTTAAATCTGAATTGTTCAAACCAACTACCTTTGTATAAAATTATTTGTCCATGCGTATCTGATAACAAATTTTGATTTTCTTTTTTAATTTAATTTGTATCACACAATGTCAACAGCCTTGCAGGTAAGATCAAGCCCACAGATTGATCAGTTATTATCAGCTGTCAATGAAAAAAAACTTTTAATTAAAAAACAATATATCCCAAACTGTGATTTTATTGCTCAATAACATCACTGTTTGGAGTTCGGATGCGGGAAATTATATATCATGAGGGTGTAGCCCGAGTGATATAATGATACGCATCCAAACGACAAACAGTGATGTTATCAAGCAATAAAATCACCGATTTGGATATATTATTTTGATTCTAACACGACATCAACAAATAAATGCTGCCCGTTCATGATAATTAGCTAAATTGTGCCTGCATAATAACACACACTTTCGTTTCTTCTATGTTCAATAGGGAAAAATGCGGGTCATGTTAGAATTAATATTTTTACACAAACTGGGTATTCATCTCAATCATAAAACTTGGTTTAAAAACATTGTCCAACCAATACAAGAAAAGATCTTGCCATTGTTTCACTTTTTGACACTGTCTGCGTCCTGGCTCTCTATTCATACATTGTGCTGTAGAAGGCCAGGAATCTTCTCATTTGCATGGACAATATAAAAAAATCTACTGCCAATATCAATGAAATGATATTATCATGGTGAATGATTCATAAAATTTTTTAAAACATTGGTTCTTATTCCGTTTGAAAGAGAATATATTGCTTTTTTCCCCCCAAAACATCAATTCCTGAAGATATCAATCAAGTGACTTTGACATGTTCTCAGTTGACAAACATGTATTGTTCTATGTTTAAGAACCTAATAGTTCTGTCGCAAATTCTGTCTACCAGGGATTTTTAGCAAAATTGTCTGTTTACTGATAGATATCTCTATATATTGCATGAAGGCTGTTAGTCCTATACATATGACATCACTTTGAGATATTTATGCTTCTGAGATTGACTGATATGAACTTCCAATAATTTACACTCAAATTGTATTTTTCTCAACTTTTAGTGGGTGAGAAACCGTAAATGTATATAAACAAATAAGATCGGGATCCATAATCTCTGGGCTTGCTAATATTCAAACTCAATTTTTCACTTTGATTTGTGATTATCCGAGTACTCGGATACTCGCCCCAGCCCTATTGTTCAAAAACGGTTTAAGTGGGAACAATAATGTTATTGTCAACGTCTAGTGATGTCATTTAGCTGCAAATTGATATAGCCTGGAACCCCTTTGTATCGATCTATTTACACATAAATCACAATCAAGTTATAACAAGAGCTGTCAGTAGGACAGCAACACTCGACTATTCTTAGTGCTTGATAGTAAAAAAAATGCTTGATACAGTTACCTCCTCCTGTTTACAGGTTGGGGTCATGATGGTGAACAAGTGTGCACAGTTTCAAAGCCATATGTCAATGGACTTTGAAAATATTTGAACTATTACAAAAACTTTAACGTAAATTCTAAGTCGAAAAAGGGGCATAATTCTGTCAAAATGCTTGATAGAGTTACCTCCTCCTGTCTACAGGTTGGGGTCATGATGGTGAACAAGTGTGCAAAGTTTCAAAGCCATATGTCAATGGACTTTGAAAATATTTGAACTATTACAAAAACTTTAACATAAGTGGTTACGCCGACGCGGACGCTCGGGTGACTGCAATAGCTCTACTTATTCTTATCGAATAGTCGAGCTAAAAAATTAAATCATCCTGAATCTTTATTTTGTTTAATTTATTTTGATCCTTTTGTCATATACTCAACATCACTAATTCCGCATCATCACTTATTTCACGGTAATGGCATATTTTCATGTTAACAGTGTTAAAATTGGTCAGAATTGATATATTTTATTCAAACACCTAAACAACAAAGTTTTTGTACAATATGTTTTAAATCTTTAGATTTTGATGTAAAACAGAACGAGATTTTACAAATTTCTGTAAAAAGCAACAATAAATTTGTGCATACGTATGAAATATATACGTCTGAAACAATCATCATTTTCTAAATGTTCTTGTTTGTTGAAAAAATAATTTTTGAGTTACAATGTACATATAGTTTTAATATTTAAAATTTTAGCAAAATAGCACGTAGAAATTTTAACTGAAACATGAAAAAAATGAAATAAAACACCATTACCGCCATTTAAATGATGACAAAATTGTTTTCAAAATGGCTGACATATGGTCTACGTCTTGCCCATTTAAACTGATTTTGGCTGAATATATTGTTGTTTTCTTGTGTCATACAGCAGAAAATACCACTATGTTACAGCTTATGACAATTTTTGTACCATAAGTAATTAAGTTTCATGTGTTGTCTCTTTCTTGTTTCAAAGCATTAAGTACCATGAACTAAGAGAAGCACAGTATAATATTTACATGGCAAACATCACTGATATATAGCTTTTAGCTTTGGAAAATTGGGATATTTACAGACATGTCAAAAACGTTGAAGAATTAGGTCACGCCATTGTGAGAATCGCTCAATTAGTCAAAAATTGGGAAGCCTGAACCATCTTTATGTTAGATTTTTTCACTTAATAACAAACAAAGATGTCTGTTTTAAAATGTCAGCATTAATTTGGGAACATTTATCAGACAGTAAATGTACTTTTGATAAGAACACACTATTATATATCTATTTATTATCTACAATGTCTTGCAGCACTGGAAACACATTTTTGACCATTTGTAAGGCAC